TAATATAATTAATTAAAGTGTGAGTAAAACATTACACACACTTTAATTTAAAATATATACACAAAACGTGCTGCCACAATACCAGGGTGTCATGGATGTCTACAAATGTTTTGCTAAGCAACTGGTAGAATGTTCTGGGTGGTTGCTAGGGTGTTGGTATGCAATTGGTTAAATGTTTTGTGTGGTTGCCAGGTTTTTGCTATACAACTGGTAGTGTGTTTTTGGTGGTTGCTATGGCCTTATAATACAATACTGTTATGGGTGGGTTGCTGAAATGTTGCTATGCAATTATTAGAATGTTCTAGGTGGTTGCTAGGGTGTTGCTATGCAGTTGGTATGTTTTTGATGGTTGCTTGGGCGCTGCCATGTAGTTGATAGAATGTTTTAGGCGGCTGTTTTGGTGTTGTTCTGTAAGTTGTAGGATGTTCTGGGTAGTTGGTAGAGTGATGCTTTGCAGTTGGTAAATTATTGGTTTATTAATTAATGGTTACCACTTACCAGGGTTTTGCTTTGCAGAATGTTCTGGGTTGTTGTTAAGGTGTTGCTATGTGGTTTTGTGTCCCAAGTCAAAAGAGCCCTCAAATCTAGTATCTGCACTCTTAGAAGAAATGGTTCTATTTAGAACCAGAAATGGTTCCATCCCCCGCTTCATATATGGAACTCCAAAATGGTTCTATATAGAACCATTTTTTTTTGGTAAAAGGTTCTATTGGCCAAGTATGGAACCCCAGGGTTCTATATAGAACCCAGAGGAACCCTTTTTTTAAGAGTGTATAGAACCTTTTAGGGGTTCCAAATATGTAGCGCTAATAGAACCTTTTAAGGTTCTATATAGAACGTTTTCTTCTAAGAGTGTGTGATATTTTGGTATCTAGATTTCAGTCTGAATTTAGGTCAGTCAGGTGAAAATTGTAAGTTTGGTCACTTAGATGTGATAGTTTAACAACACAATCCTTTGGAAATTTATAACTATTTTATATTTCAGTGAATATTGTTTTTTGCAGAATCCATAGATATGTTTAGGGTAGGACCTTCATGCTTACTTTTTCTAAAAATTACATTTTTACATTTTCCTATGATTCACATCATACGGGTTCGTGTGAAATCACGTATTCTTCATAAAATACTTACACTTTCCTATGAGATCGGGTTGGTTTAGCACCTTATCTTAAAAGTTGGTTTCAGGGATCATTCCACTGTAGCACAAACAGTACAGGATAAATAATACTTTGAAGTTTATTAAATTTCCTAAGAATGACTAGATCTGCCCTCAGAGGGCATGCAAAATAAGATATGTTGGATTTTTTGACACTTTTAATGCTTTGCTTGACAAAAACACTGCATGAAATTATTGAATTGGAACAATCAAATAATTATGGGGCAATCATTTTTAAGTTCTAGTTTTTTAAGTAATTTTTAAGTTCTTCTAAATTTGACTCCTGCGGCTTCTTTTTGGGAATATCACATACGTTTGACCCACAGACTGTGTGTGTATGTGTGTGTTTAGGTAACTGGTGATAAGACTTACTCACTCACCCACTCTCACTTCACCACGTCATTCCACCTTGCATCTCCCTTTGCTTTTGGAATTTGGGTGTAAGGGCTACGGTACCACCCGGTACCGATATTTATCCTAATTACATTTCTGACAAGGAACAGCATGCACCATTCATCAGTGTCAGCGGGAGACAATCAGAATCCCACATTCCGCGGGTCCGAGCGACGGCCCTGACGGAGAGCTCCTCGGCTGAACTATGCTGATGGTGTCGATATGTCCTGGAGCCTGTCGGGGAAGGTAGAGGGGTGGTACCTTATCTCCTCAGATGTCACTCACAGGGAGAGATCAAAAGGAAGGGTTGAGATGAAGGAGAGTTAGTGCCTGCTCGTCGACTGGCACGCTTGGCTCCGCTAGCTGTCAATTCGGTTGTCTAAATGCTTCATCAATGGCGTGACACAACCCCATGCACACTTGAGTAGTGAAGTGCACTCACTGCTTTTCAGAAGTAAGCACAGAGGGGTTATGGGTGATGCATTGATTTCACAGGCCTGATTTTCAGTATCTAAACATCCTTAAAACAAGATATACTCAAAAAACTAAATTGTGATATTTGTTTACAGAGAGGAATGTATCTTGAATTAAGATTATGTTTTGAGATTTTTTTGGTAACTAAATTATTGTCCATATAAGACAAAACCAAAGGCAAACATTTCCAAATAGGTAAATTATGAGTTCTAATATCTTATACAATTTTGCTTAAATGTAATTTTATTATAAGGATGTTTAGATACTTGAAAACAAGGCATTTTATATATATATATATATATATATGTGTGTGTGTGTGTGTGTGTGTGTATATATATATATATATATATATTGCCTTGTTTTCAAGTATCTATATACTTTTCAAGCATATATATTGCTGTATTGTGTAACTTTTGGCTAATAAGAAACATTTTCATTTCTCAAACTCAAATTAAATGGTCATTTTTATTGACATCTTTGTACATTCTGTGAATGACAGGGAATATCATTTTATTTTAGACTAAATTTAAATGTTTAATCTTGGTAAATAAACTTGGGAAATAATAATAATAATAATAATTAAAGCTGCAAGCAGCATTTAGCGGGGTTCAAGCAGTTTAGGCCGTTAAGGCCTTTAAGCACAAAAGCATCAAAAGACATCAAGGTTTAAGTTTCAATAATGGCAATTTACCATAGGGAATACATTGTTTTTAACATCTTTAACAGTTATAGCGCCACCTATAGTCCGATCTCCATGAAACTTTGCATGCTTGTTGAATAAGTTATGACACATGTGCTCATCAATTTTTGTGAAGCTCTGACTTTTCCTTTAGGATTTATAGGCTTTTGGGTGCATTTTGTCATGCCCCCTTTTATAAATGACCCTGTTATAGCAAAACAAATGACAAAGTTCAACTTTTTTTTGATAATTATTGATCTAGAGAGTCCAAAGAATTATCCTAGACTGGTCTGGTTCCGATCCGGCAAAAAACCAGGGACTAGTTCGCAAAAGTACGTTTTTAACATATTCGTGAATATTTAACGAACGATTTGATTGACAGCAATAGTTCTTGAGGCAAAGTTGTTCAGCATGAGGAGATCTATCAATTGGTATACATATTGTGGGGGTGTGTGCAACACCACGTGATAACAGAGCCATAAAACTCGTTAGCGCCAACTAGTGGCCGATTTCTTTCAAAATTCTTACAGACCTCTAGGGCCATGAGTCAAACATGCCCAACGAGTTTCGTTCCGATCGGCCTTGGTTAACCTTGTCTCATCGATGCTCAAACTTCATTGGCCGATGGCGGCCATGTTTTTTTAGATACGCCAATTTCCTCATAGATATACATGGGGCCTTGGTCCAAGACACTGCATACAAATTTTCAAGTCAATCGGACTAACGGTCATGTGGTCATAGCCCTTTTTATGTTTTTTTCATGTTATAGCGCCACCTAGTGTTCAATCGTCGCTATTTTTTTACTGTGACCTCAAATTGAACTCTTACACATGTGTACCGAGTTTGGTGAAGATATCTCATTTACTTCTCGAGTTATAGCCATTTTAGTAAAATAGGCTCCTCCCACAACGTTTATTTTGCTTCCCCTAGCGACCAGAACGAGAAATTTCAACATTTTTTTGATAATTATTGATCTTCAGACTCCAGAGAACATTCCTGCACTGGTTTGGTTCCGATCGGGCAAAAAACCAGGGACTAGTTCGCAAAAGTAGTTTTTCGACAAAATTCAAAATGACGGAAAATCTATCATGACGGAAATGAAATCGGAGATATACATTTTTTTCATCAGGTGAGCAGCTTTCCAATGATATAAGACACTTCTGTGTACGACTTACGGTCTAGGAGTTATGAGCAGTTTCGCGCAATTGGTTGCTACAGCGCCACCTATGGGCCAATCGGGGTCATAATTTGATAACCTCTCCTCGATTTTTGTACTACCATCTGACAAAGTTTCAGAGCTCCAGCACTTACGGTTTGGGCTGCACGATGCGTTTTAGGGGAGAATAATAATAATAATAATAATAATAAAAATCAGTACAAAAACAATAGGGTTTCAGCACTTCGTGCTTGAACCCCTAATAAGCATCTCTGATTTACTTAGCGTACTAGGGTCTCATTTTGTTACACATAAATATTTAAACCAGATTTTATTAAAATGTACAAAATAATATAACAATATAGCCGATTTTAAAATAAAGCATAGTTCAGAAATTCAGAGAACGATATATAAAGAACAAAAAAGATGATATCTATGATATTTTTATGATCTATGATTTTCAGATAGTTGACAAGGAGGCATCTAAATGAATTATTCAAGGAATGTTCAGAGGTGTTCTCATGGATCCTCAACATTGATCATGCATCGTACACGTATCATTCCATCTTGCATTGGACGAGTGCATCTGGAACGGTCAGAGGTCTTTGGATCGGTTTATGTACAGAAGGGCATTGTCCATGTAGGGGGAGATCTTTGAACCTTATCTTGTGTAGTAACTCCTGCAATGTTTACATTATTTCTTATTACATTACATTATCTAAACTTCACAGACCCATCATGGTCAGGTTTTATGATCTGTGGGAGAAGTCGATGTGCAAGAACCTTGGTTGCTATCTGTTGGACTGCATTGAGTAAGCCCATAGGCCTGATTGATGAATGTGGGTTTTTCTCCCCTTTTTAAAAGCTAATGGATGCAAAAGGTTCAGGCATCTGTCATTTAGACCTGACACAATGATAGGGCAAAGCTCAGGTAAGAATGTTACATATAATTAATGTGGGAAATTATGCCTATCAGCTAGCGTCCCTTCAGAAGTTTTGTTTGTTTATATATATTAGCAACTTTTAATCTATATGTGTGTTTATATTTAATATGCTGTATATAAGTTGTTAATATTTATGTGTATATTTTATTCATTTAGAACAGATATCTTGAACACAATATCTTGTCATGTCCTGTGTAGGTTCAGGTTGTGAGGTTGGGTCTTTCCACTGTGGGACAGGCCGTTGTATTCCAGTGAGCCAGAGATGCGATGGAACAACCGACTGCTCGGATAGCTCAGATGAAATTGGCTGCCGTAAGTAACTCTTCTAGACAGTCACAAGGTCACACTGAACGCTGATAAAGAGTGACAAGTGTGAAATAGAGCTGTTTAGTTTGTAATCCATAAACCTGGAACAGCATTAGCATTAGCATTAGCCATGTGTTCCCTCAGGAATTTAAAATGGGTATTTAGAATAGTTTTTTTTATACATCATAAATTATGTGCAGTCATAAAACATGAATTATAGAGCCTTTTTGGGCTTTAAAAACATAAGTTGCTCACAAGTTAAGAGTATGCCAAGCACGTAAAATCAGTCGCAATTGCGTGTTATAAAGTCAGAATTGCGAGATATAAAGTCAGAATTGATTGATAGTCAGAATTGTGAGATATGAGTTGCAATTGTGTGTTATAAAGTCATGATATAAAGGTGAAATTGCGTGTTGTAAAGTCAGAATTGTGAGATATAAACTATTCTGAGGGGGGAAAAGTTCCCTTTAGAATTGGCCTGACAACTCAGAATTTCGAGATGTAAACTCACAATTGTGAGAAAAAAAGTCAGAATTGTGAGATAAAAAGTGTCAATTCTGTGTTTTTTTCTTACAATTGCGACTTTAGATATAGCAATTGCAACTTTATTTCTCAGAATTGTGACTTTATATATAGCAATTGCGACTTTATTTCTCAGAATTGCGACTTTATATATTGCAATTGCGACTTTATATCTCACAATTGCGGCTTTATTTCTCAGAATTGCGACTATATATTGCAATTGCGACTTTATATATAGCAATTGCGACTATTTCTCAGAATTGCGACTTTATATATAGCAATTGTGACTATATATTGCAATTGCGACTTTATATATAGCAATTGCGACTATTTCTCAGAATTGCGACTTTATATATAGCAATTGTGACTATATTTCTCAGAATTGCGACTATATATTGCAATTGCGACTTTATATATAGCAATTGCGGCTTTATTTATCAGAATTGCGACTTTATATATAGCAATTGTGACTATATTTCTCAGAATTGCGACTTTATATATTGCAATTGCGACTTTATATATTGCAATTGCGACTTTATATCTCACAATTGCGACTTTATTTCTCAGAATTGCGACTTTATATATTGCAATTGCGACTATTTCTCAGAATTGCGACTTTATATACCGCAATTGTGACTTTATTTCTCAGAATTGCGACTTTGTATATAGCAATTGCGACTATATTTCTCAGAATTGCGCCTTTATATATTGCAATTGCGACTATTTCTCAGAATTGAGACTTTATATCTCACAATTGCAGCTTTATTTCTCAGAATTGCAGCTTTATTTCTCAGAATTGCAGCTTTATTTCTCAGAATTGCGACTTTATTTCTCAGAATTGCGACTTTATATCTCGCAATCGCGACTTAATTTCTCACAATTCTGACTATGGAAACAAGCTTCCATACAGATCTGATCTGATAGTTTGCAAAGTGTACTATAAACTATATACTTGAAAAATTGTATAGATACTATGCTATTAAATAAGGAAAACATTCAATTAATATGATCAGAAAAGTCCATTATTTTGGAATGCTTATTTCTCGGTCCATGTCAGTTCTTACGTTCCTCTATTTATGAAATCTGTCAAGGAATTCTGAGCTATTTGAAAGGAACCCTCTTAGCGCAGGCCAGCTCAAATCTCTTCTAGCTTGGTTAACAATGCCGTCTCATTACGCTCTTCCAGCCCAGCCCACCTGCGAGAGCGCTCAGTTCCAGTGCCTGAGTGACGGCGAGTGCATTCCTCAGCACTGGGTTTGCGATGATGAGGAGGATTGCGAGGATGGCTCCGATGAAAGGCAGCACTGCCGTGAGTACTCCTTATCTCTCTCCCTCACTTTCTGCTTCCATTTCAATTACGACTGTCCGTCACATCTGAGAGCTCCATTGACTCCCAGTAATGTCCCGGGATGTAATTTCCATCATGTCGGAGAAACACGATATCTCAGATGTGCAGGCAACAGTATAAAAAACAACAGGCAAAGTGTGCATGTGTCGTTGGGAGAGTATCCCACTTTAGTGAAGATGAGGACCACCCAGCACACTCATATTATAATCATGTCTTTGATCTCTGCTGGCAGCTGGCAGGACGTGCTCCGGTTCACAGTTCACCTGTACGAACGGCGCATGCATCCCGGGAGGATACAGGTGCGACCGAGTACCTGACTGCCTAGATGGAGCAGACGAGAGAAACTGCTGTAAGTGTGTGTGAGAGATGGGATTAGAGCTGGGCAGGATGGCTAAATATGTATTACAGTCTGCAAAAGTCTGCGTTTATTTGATCAAAATACAGCAAAAACAGTAATATTGTGAAATATCATTACAATTTACTATTTTCTATGTGAATACATTTTAAAATGTGAGTTATTCCTGTGATCAACGCTGAAAAAGAACTCTTTGAATGAACATAAAAAAATCATGGAAAGGATTTCCACATGGAGGTCGAGGGAGGTCCCAAAAGGGAGCAAATATCCATAGATCCTATGTTAAAATGTCTGTTTTCACAGCATAAATTCATGCTTTTACAGGTTGATCTTTTGTATTTTGTATTTCTCAAGATTCTCTAATATGGGACCCCCCATAAACAGCCTCAAAACTATTCTTCAGAAACTCTAAGGGTGACGTCACAGACGCTTTGTCCATATTTTTTACAGTCTATGGTCACGACTTAATGAACCACTAAATCGATTTTGAGGGAAAAAAATCTTACTTAGTGTTGCTTTAATGAATAGAAAGTTCCAAATAACAGCATTTATTCAAAATAGAAATCTTTTGGAACAATGTAAGTCAGTTTTGATGAACTGAATGCATCCTTGCTATCCCCAAACCTTTGAACCATTTTGAACCAAACACCATTGCAGCAGTTCATTCAACAAGTAGTAAAATACAGTAAAAACCTAGCTTTTCACAATATGTAACAAAGATTCTGATTTAATAATTTTCGTTTATATGCTGCTTAATACCAATATATACCACTCAGTATGCAAAGTTGCATTGCATTTAATAAATTAAATTAAAAAACTACTCAAATGACACTTAAATATCAAAGTGCATAAACATCTCAAAATTCGTGATATTTCTTAATTTGATAGTGAATATAATTTTATAGTGTGAACATTTGACATTGTTTGAGGGAGGAAACACACACACACACACTCAAAGTGTGTGTGTTTTCTTCTCTCTCAAAGGCTCCTTTGGCATTTTAATCAATTTGTAAGATTAAGAGTCTCGCTGATGGACAGAAATGGCCACAATATGCTTCTTGTTTGTCAGAGTTGATTGCAGATTCCTCTGTGGATTAGTGCAAGTGTCAGTTCAGTTTCCGTGTCATCATTGACTTGCTCTTATCACACACTGTACTTTACTGTAACAGACTTACTACATACATAATGTTTTATCTTTGATTCCACATTAGCTTTATGCTGATTGTTTGCTCGTACTGTACTATGCTGGATTGTATTACACAATGATTATATTTTAATAATTGACTGAGTCTCTATTTCTCAGTCTACCCGGAGTGCTCGGAGCTGAGGTGTGCTAACGGTGCGTGCTATAACCGGAGCCAGCGCTGTGACCAGGTGCTCAACTGCCGAGACGGATCAGACGAGGCCAATTGCAGTGAGTATCTTTCCCTGGCAGGACACGTATATAGACACAGTCATCTACTGGATGGCCTGGAAAATGTTTGCGCTACGCGATTTTTCAGCTATAATATTTGGTTATGTGAGAAATATATTTAAATGAGAAATATTTATATTTAATATACGTAATTTACATTTTTATGTGCACGGTTATTGTGGTTTTATGGTTTTTATTAATATTTTGAAATCACACTTATTTTTATATTTTCAAATTCAGTCTACATTTTAGTTATGTTCTTAAAGGAACACTCCGACTTTTTGGGACTTTAGCCTATTCACCTTACCCCCCAGAGTTAGATAAGTCCATACATACCTTTTTCATCTCCGTGCGTGCTATAAGTCTGTTTGATGCACCCACCGCTAGCCTAGCTTAGCACAAAGACTGGATGTGAATGGTTGCAGCTTTCATACTAATCCAAATGAGTGACAAAATAACGCAAACGTTTTCCTATTTACATGTTGTGGTTTGTATAGTCACAGAGTGTGCAAATATCAAGGCCATATGAGACACAGACATCTTTTGACCGTATAAATACTATATTTTCTGAAGGGGAAGCACTGCTACTTGAGCAGAGTGATAACGATCACCTGAGACGCACCGTGACGAGGAGCAGAGAGTTCGCTTCGCTCAGCGTTGGAATAAAGAGTCAGCAATTACTAACGTTAGATAGAAAAGCATAGTTTATCATGGGTGTTTGCTTTATTGTATGAGCTGTGACAATAAACAGGGGAGACCAGGTAATACAGTACCATTTTTCATTGATTTCCAACCAAAAACACACCTAGATTTATAAATATCACATGAATAAATAATTATTATTACAGGAATCAATATATTTTAAATGCAATTTAACCAAATGAACCAAATGTATTCAACAGTAGCCTATATAATATACAGTATTGCATTACTATAGGATAGAATAAGGGGAAAGTAATAGCACAAATTGTTTTTGCACAATGAACTCACAGCCTATCGTACCCTTTTGCACGCTCAAGTTCGTTATTTACATGGTTATTTCAAATTTAGGCTAACGTTACTAGGCGCGCCGCGCGCAGGGTGCAAGTTCAACGCGGTAAACGCGCTCGTTTTTTTTTCCCAAGCGCGTCCGCACCGCATCAAGATAAAAACATATTCATACCCTAATCATATAATAGTGTCACTAACGTTACATTAGATCTGGCTAATAATGGCACTGTTACAGTAGGTCATCTAAAAACATAACGGAACACTTACCTCAGCCGCAGGTGATCCAATTGTCCTGTCTGTGCTATCGATGGGATGGCCGTATCCTTCAGCACATTATGGTCCGTGTGGCAAATTCCATTTTTTCAAAATAGTCGTCCTCATTGAAATGTACCGAGCAAACATAATGTCCCTTGATAATCTTAGGTGTGTTTGGATAAATATCCAGAGTAAGTTAGCCATTTCTTCATCCAGTCAGCGTTTTTAGTTGGAATTCTGTGAAACATGGTTACCTCCCCTGTTTACAGTCGCAGCTATTTACAATAGAGCGAAAACCCATGACTCTAAACTACGCTTTTACTATTTATAAATTGCTGACTCTGTTACCCAAACACCGAGCGAACTCTCCGCTCCTCACCACGGCTTGTCTCGGTGATGCGGTTATTACGCCGTCAAAGTAGCAGTGCTTCGCCTTCAGAGAATAGTTCCCAGGTTTTATACGGTTAAAAGATGTCTGTGTCTCATTTGACTTTGTTATTTGTACATTATGTGACTATACAAATCACAACATGTAAATAGGAAAAGGTTTGCGTTATTTTGCCACTCATTTGGATCAGTATGAAAGCTGCAACCAGTCACATCGAGTCTTTGTGCTAAGCTAGGCTAGCGGTGGGTGCGTCAAACAGACTTATAGCACGCACGGAGATGAAAAAGGTATGTATGGACTTATCTAACTCTGGGGGGTAAGGTGAATAGGCTAAAGTCCCAAAAAGTCGGAGTGTTCCTTTAAATATTTTTTTAATTTGTGTTTTTATATTGTTGTTATGTTTCATTTATTTTATTTCACTTTTGGTATTAGTTAAAAACTTAAATTAGTCATTTTAATGCTTCAATTTCAAATAATATTTATATAACTTATTTTCAGCTTTATTTCAATTAACATTTTTTTTTGTATTAGTTTTAGTTAGTTAACAACCCTGATTCTGTGAAACACAAAATAAGATGTTAGGCATAATAAAATATAAATAACAGTGACTTTTGCGCAAATGTAACATTTTTATGATGCCATTTGATAGTTTTTTAAAAGAAATTTAAGGTATTTTTCACTGATTGTCCAATTCACATTCTTATTTTTTTTGTCGTGATTCATCGTGACATTCGAAAACCAATTACATTTGCCATCAGTGATCAAACCTGATACAATTTTTTCAAATGTGGCATTTGTGAACTGAAAACAGGGATAAATGATATTTGACAGGCTTAAATTGAGACAGATCTTCATATGAATCATAATATACTGTAGCGCACATATTGGGTGAAAACGACGTGAGGCGTTAACAATCTGTGACTTTTCACCATAGCAATAAATCCGGAAAATATTTAGCCAGTCAAATTAAAAGAAATAAAGAAAAAACAGCTATAACCTCCATCAGAAACTCGGCAGGGAAGCTAACCAATTCACCAGTTGAGATAAACAGGACATTTCAAGATTACTATACTAAATTATACTCATCCGATCTTGATCCGAACCAAGAAGACATAACCCAATTCCTCGATAACATCATTCTACCAAAACTCAACATGGAACAAATAAACACACTAGAATTACCAATCACAGAAAAAGAACTTCACTCCGCACTGAAAAGCATGCAAAATAATAAAGCACCAGGTCCAGATGGCTTCCCTGCTGAGTTTTACGAACATTTTTGGTCAACCTTATACCCACTATTTAGCAGAACAATAACAGAAATAAAACACAATGCAAAGTTCCCTCCCCACATGAATACAGCACTTATATCACTCATTCCTAAACCTAACAAAGACCATACCTTCACATCCAACTATCGCCCTATCTCACTCATAAATGTCGACATAAAAATTATTAGCAAAGCATTAGCCCATAGAATTGAACAAATTATACCATATATAATCCATCCTGATCAGACTGGCTTCATAAAAGGTAGACATGCATCTAATAACACCCGCAGATTATACAATTTAATGCATTACTCATCAACACAACAGAAAGATACTCTCATTGCCACATTAGACGCCGAAAAAAGCTTTTGACAGGGTCAACTGGAAATTTTTATTCACCACGTTACAAAAATTCGGCTTTGGAGAGTCATTTATTAACTGGATCAAGATTTTATACACATCACCATCGGCCACAGTCACAACGAATGGACTAACATCACAAAGCTTCGCACTGCATAGGGGGACAAGGCAGGGATGTCCACTCTCTCCATCCCTATTTACCATTTTTATTGAACCTTTAGCAGCAGCTATCCGTCAAAACCCAGCAATCAAAGGTATTGAAACACCACAACAAATACATAAAATCTCACTCTATGCAGATGATATCCTACTATATATACAAGAACCCCTAACATCTACTCAAGAAATAATTAAAACAATCCAGTCCTTCTCAAAAATATCCGATTATGCAATAAACTGGAATAAATCCTCCATCCTCCCTTTACATAAAACCAAATGGGATGTGGCACCCCATCAATCACCAATACCTATTTGTCAGGATCACATCACTTACTTAGGCATTAAGATTTCCTCCAGACTGTCAGAGTTGGTAACACTCAACTTCACACCACTACTAAAAAAAATAGAAGACGATTTGCTCAGGTGGCTCAACCTCCCAATCTCCATAATCGGCAGGATAGCAGCAATAAAAATGACGATTCTACCAAAAATTAACTACCTATTCTCAATGATTCCAACCCACCCCACACTCACCTGGTTTAAATCACTAGACTCCATTATAACTCACTTCTACTGGAAAAATAAAACACCAAGGATAAAACTCACTACACTACAAAAGAGTAAGGTTCAAGGAGGACTAGAAGCACCAAATTTCCAATATTACTCAATGGCTAACCAACTGCAATACATATACAAATGGATTCACCCCACCCAATCTGATATTATATGGCTAGATATAGAACAATCACTATGCAAAGAATTAAATATAGCTGACATACCGTTCCTCACCAAATCAATTAAACAACACACATGTTTTAATGCAGTAACTATAGCCTCCACTCTGACAGCCTGGTGGAAATTTCACCAAATCACAAACTCTACATTAGCTCCATCTAACCTCACTCCACTATGGAACAACCGTGATTTTATAAGCAATAAAAAAACATTGAATTTTCACACATGGGCGGAAAGGGGTATCACCCACATTAAGCATATTTTCAAAGCCAACACATTTAAACCATTTCCACAACTGGCTCAGGAGTATGGCATCGGGAACAACGAATTTTTAAAATACCTACAAATCAAATCTTCTGTCCTGGCAAAAATAAACATCAGAGATACAAATTTAGAACTTCCACCGGCAATATCAGACATGGTCAACATTTCCTTTCCAAAAAAACTGCTCTCTAAAATATACAAAATTATCTCAAATCAACTTCAGACTATATACTTACCAACAATAAAATGGGAAAATGATCTTTCAATAGCCACTGATGCCAACTTCTGGACCCAAATCTGTAAAAATGTCTATCTCATGTCCAAAAATGCGAATCTTCAGTTAATACAATACAAAATACTCCACAGAACACATTACACAGGCAATAGATTAGCTAAAATGGGTTTCACATCAGAAGTTTGCACACATTGCAATCAAAATTCTACAGACACATACATCCATGCAACCTGGCACTGCACTCCAATCAAACACTTTTGGGAAGAGGTCACACAATCACTATCCACTATAGTTGGCTGCCACATCCCATTGTCTTCTTCCCTTTGCTTGCTGGGGGACCTTACAATAATCACTGATAAAACTATAAACTCTAAAATACTCCTCATAGCGCTAACCATCGCCAAGAAAACTATCCTCATGAACTGGAAAACCAGAAATAAATTACACATTAACATTTGGAAAAATCTTATTACAGACTTCATTGCAATGGAACTCGCATCTCCCCTTCATAATTACACATCTGAAACTGACCTCTACCGTCCAACACTTTCTGACCTCTTACAGCTATGAATCCCTTCTCTGTTTTTAACTCAGACTATAACCAACCCACGAATATTTGTGCATTTTAGTTGTTCGAACTTGTTTTTGTCATCATTGTTATTGCTATCTTTACTGTCACTGTTATGATTACTATTTTCACTTTTATTTAATTTTTTGTTGTTTCATTGTTGTAATTGCTGTTGTTGCTGTCTTTTGCTCTCACCGTTGTGATCACCACTGCCATCATCATTGTCATTCATTATTATTATTATTATTATTATTATTATTACTACTACTATTATTATTATTATTATTATTATTATCATCATCAATATTGCCATTGTCAATGCTGTAGAATTAGAATGTAGAACTAGAATTAAGCGTCATTGTCATCACTAATGCAATAACTTCCCCCTTATCTCTTCATGGGTTTTTAATGCACCACAACATAGAAAAGGGAAAAAAAAAAAAAAAAAAAAAAAGTATATTTGGATAAACATCGCAAACACCAAGGCAGGCAAGACAGGCGAGAAGTAGTTTCAACGGGACAGCATCTCTGGCCCAATTTGAGACATTCTCGCACTGTACTCCCTCTTTTAATGCACTTTAGACATTGCACATAACACACACACAAAAAAAAAAGAAAAATATAGAAAAGATAGGGACTGATGAGATGTGGGGGAAGGTTGTCTTATATTATGTTATATTATATTATTATATTATATTATTATATTATCATATTTTGTACAGGATTGACAATGGCAATTGTTACATAGGAGGAAGGATGGAAATAAAAATCTACAAAAACAATATGGGCAGTATGGTGGTAGTGGGGAGTGATGGTAATGACAATGGTAATAAATAATAAATGGTTACTTTGTGTACACACGCATACACATACCCACGCTCATACACGCTCACTTACACACTTAGATCAAACACTTAATCACTCTTGCCACTGCTGGAATTATGGATTTACAAGATTGCTCACTACTGCACTATGTTGGTTTGTTTGTATGTATGTCTGACTGAAAAAAAAAAAAAAAAAAAAAAAAAAAGAAAACGACGTGAGGGTGAATAAACAATGTAATTTCATGTAGCTATTTTCCACTGTATTAAATTCATTTTTGTGTCAAATTGTGTCATGGATGTGTTTTGGTTGTGTTCAGCCCGGCGGTGCAGCAGCGGTCAGTTTCAGTGCAATAACGGAGAGTGTATTCCTCGCGGATACGTCTGCGACCATGACGATGATTGTGGAGATAGAAGTGATGAGCAGAACTGCTGTACGGAGATTTAATTTTGCACTTTTTCCCCACATCTAATCATAAAGAATGTAAAAGGGTAACATAAAGTAGTAACTCAGAAAAGCCTGTGTGTATGCTATCTCCAGCCTACCCAACCTGCAGAGGAACATACTACACCTGTCCCAGCGGCCGATGCATTCATCAGGTCTGGCTCTGTGACGGAGAGGACGACTGCGAGGACAACGCAGATGAGAAAGGCTGCGGTACACTTTTGAAATGTTGCTCTGCATGCTATTTTTCTTAATATGAATATGGGCTGAAATTGTGTTTTATGTGATGTGTTTAGACAATGTGCAGCGTGAATGCTATCCAGGGGAATGGCCGTGTCCTTCTTCTAGTGTTTGCATCCCTCTCGACCACCTCTGTGACGGGACGGTACACTGTCCAGACGGAGAAGATGAAACCAACCACACCGCTGGACGCAACTGCAGTCAGTCACCACCTAAAAACCTCTAAAACACTAGCTGACTCTTCACAGTATTATTTTAGTGTTATTTATATTCTAGCCTATTAGTATGTATTCATATTTTTAATCAGAGTTTATTTTTATATTTTCAGTTTTTATTTTTTCATATGCTTTTGTAATTTTTATTAGTTTCTGTGTTTTTTTTTAACCCTCAGGTGTTATTCGTTTCGGAGTCACACTTGTTATCTTCCCGGTCAAAAGTGACCGGACACCTAAAAATTAAATTGCCTCCATTCCAGTAAAACCAATGCAATTTATTTTTGTTCTATAATATTTATTCTTTGTAATTTAGTATTTTGAGACAATTTGATTGAATTTATTAATATTTATGCAATATTTATGGTCTGTTTTTACCATGGAAAAATATATATAATTTTCTATATATATATTATTTTTTAATGCAGTATTTTAGTTTAATATAGAGTCTAGGCCTTCAGAAAAAATATTTTTTGAAGAAAATTAGCACCATCTGGTTACAGCATAGAGACAAAGCGTAGAATCATGGTGTAACCACTAGATGACATGTACAGCTCTCTATGGAGAAGCAAGTGAATTCCCCAGCTGTTTATGAACACATATTTTTTTCCCCAGCTGTTTATGAACAGATTTAAAAAACAATTTTTTGATTAAAAAAATATATAAAAATCTGTGAATTTTTGTGTTTTTGTCAATTTCCCATACATTTCCTATGGGTCCGTCATTTTTGACCGAAGAACACAAGTGTGACTATTTTTTTTTACGACCACTTAGCATGCTCGGATCATGACCTCAATTTTTTTTTTGTATTGGCATACATAATGCCATAAAAGTCACCAAGTTTCATAACATTCCGATGAAGCTGTGATTTTTAGAAATTCAAAACAGAAAAATTTTCGGTCAGAAATGACCGAAGAGCAACTGAGACTTCTACCTGTATGTAGCTGTAGATTTTAATTCAGTTTTAGTCATTTTAGTACTTCAGTTTCAGTTCTTGTTTTCAATTATTTCAGATATAATATTTATATTCTATTTATTTTTATTTAATTTGGTGTAGAAACAACACAAATAATTACGCATTGAAATATTGAAGTAAAAAGACTGAAATGGTATTTTATAAAACATACTCCAATAACCTTTGTTTTTATCTACTATATTAACTTTATTATTATTTATTAACATCTTAAAAAATTTTCTTAGAAAGAGATTTTTTTCTTTTTTCGTGCTGTTTTTAAAGTTTACCTAACATAGCTGACATAGCTGTTTTGTGTCAGGTATATGGCGCTGTGCATCCCTGAGCTGTGAATATCATTGTCACTCCTCTCCTGACGGAGGGACCTGTGCCTGTCCTCCAGGATATGTGGTCAGCAGAAACGACAGCCGCTCATGCATCGGTAAAACGTTTGATTGGTCATGAAAATGGGTTATTCACACATTCAATCAAACTTGACATGAACTCAACTCAATCCCTGTACTTTTTGCACATGCAGATTATGATGACTGCAGTCTGTGGGGTATGTGTGACCAGCTGTGTGAGGATCGGATCGGAAGCCATCGCTGCAGCTGTCGAGAGGGATACCTTCTGGAGCAGCACAGATACTGCCGAGCAAATCCCTCATGTAGGTTCATTCAGGCCTCTGACGTGCTGTCTATACTCAATCCCTGTGTGTAGAAGCTGTCTGGGGGAGTACTGTAATTGACTCATTGAAATTATGTTTAAAGGGATAGCAGATTAAGAAGACGCAATGAACATGTTAGGCAATGATTACAGCTCGTGATCATAATGATTACAATATTAAGTGGGCGTCCTTTGAAATCTTTGCAAAAATCAAATTTTTTCCCTATATCTATTATATATTTTACTTATTTAAATTATATTTATGCTCTTGTGTCTGCATTGTATTTTTCTGCATGCTTTCATTTACGTATCATGGCTTTCAGACTAATGTTCCTAGTGTTAACTGTTATCTTATATGTCCATTAATCAGGCTTTTTGCTGCCCATCGTTCTTCAAGCTCCCCAGTTTGCATTGAATGCCATCATGTTATTAAGCTCCTGAAATGTCTGCCTCCCAACCATTTGTTTGGCAGGCCTGGGAAAATAATGAATAACAAGCGCTGGCACCAAACAGCCAATCCTAAACTCTCTCACATTAGTTATGTCTTATCAAATGTACATTATATTATGTGAGCTCTCTGAAGATTGTCAAAGTGTATCCTTCATTTTGAAGGCATATTACTAAATTAATCCGCTTTGTTTGGTTATCTGTAGCTGGGATGCCCTCTCTGATATTCTCCAATGGGAGAGACTTGCTGATTGCTGATGTCCACGGACACAGCGCTCAAACCCTGGTTGAGTCCCAGAACAGAGGAGTTGCTGTTGGTGTGGACTTCCACTACCAGCTGAACAGGGTCTTTTGGACAGACACAATCCAAAATAAGGTAATATGGACTTCAGAATAAGAACAACAATCCTCGCAGGCTGCATATAGTTCCTAAACATGAGCAGGACATTATATACTACTCTTTAAAAGTTTGGGAAGAGTTTTTTTTGTATTCAACAAGGATGTATTCAATTGATCAAAAGTTTAAAGACATTTATTTATGTTACAAAATGTATGTTATACTTTGAAAAAATATTTCTGATTTTGAACTTTGTGTTTGTCAAAGAATCCTGACAAATGTTTGGTATCTATAGAAATATTTAGCAGTTTTCAACATTGATCAGCGAATCAGCATATTAGAATGATTTCTGAAGGATCATGTGACACTGAAGACTGGAGTAATGATGCTGGAATATTCAGCTTTGCATTAAAGAAATTAATTACATATTAAAAGATATTCAAATAGAAAACAGTTATTTTAAATTATAATAATATTTCACATTCACATTTTTACTATTATTTAAATTAGTGCAGATAAATGCAAAATAAAATGGAGCCTTGGTGAGTATACGAGAATTTTTTAAAAACACGTACCAATTACAATCGTTTGACCTGGTGTGTAAATCTCAATATTTTTCAGTCTTTTGACAAGGTTGATATTTTTGTAAATATTTTTTTTTTCAATCTAACATTTCCATCGAACAGCCAGAGAAGCCTAGTAGTTGTTTAATGCAAGTTAAAATCTATTACAAAAATATTTATTTTTATAGTGTTGGCAACATCATTGGATATATTGTGAATGTTTGAGATTTATATCGGCCAGTTCTAATTGCTTTCTTGCTCATTGTACCGTTCTTCATAGCACAGTGTGTGTGGCATTAATGTTTCCCACTTACATTCATTTAGTGCTCTGGCACCTGCCACGGCTCCTCAGCTTTCCTGAATTTAATAAGTGGCATTTCACAGATTACTGAAGTTCTAACCTTGTCAGGCCGAGAGATATCGATGTTACATTTGTTGTTGATAACAAAGCTCTGCATTATACCAGCTCTTCCTCCTTGGACATGTACTGACGTCCCTGACCCTCAACACACACTCACACATACATTCATTGTGCCAGTCAGACTGCTCTGATCTCACCTCATACACCCCAGCAGCAACGTTTGGCTAAAGGCCCAAACAGAGTGTGCCAGCATCTTCCAAGCCTCCCTAAACTCTTCCTGAAGCAATCAGGACCAAGCAATATTATGTTAACCCTTAGAGACTTACTTAGAAATTAAAACACATTTTAAATCTATATATTATACCTGTTTTCACTAAAAATAAGGTTACAACTTCATACAACTTTCAAATGCATAATAGCAACAAGTCAATGAATGTGTAATGTGAATATATACACACACTACCATCTAAAAGTTTGGTCAGTAAGATTTTTTTTTTGAAAGAAGTCTCTTGAATGCTCACCAGGGGGCATTTATTTGAGCAAATAATACAGTAAAAATAGTAATAATGTGAATTATCATAACAATTTAAATCAGCTGTTTTCTATTTTAGTATAATAATATTTAAAAATGTAATTTATTCCTGTGATCAAAGCTGAATCTTCAGGATCATTACTCGTGTCACATGATCCTCCAGAAATCATTCTAATATGCTGATTTGCTGCTCCAGAAACATTTTTTATTATTGTCAATGTTAAAAACAGTTGTGCTGCTTAATATTTTTACTTTTATATATTTCATAGAAAGTTTCAAAGAACAGCAATTATACATTATAAATGTGTATACTGTTGCGTTTGATTAATTTAATGCAGCCTTGCTGAATAAAAGTTTTTTTTTTTAATCATGCTGACCTCAAACTTTTGAATGATATGATTTGATATGATATGATATATGTATACTTGAATCTAAATGGTTGACAAACAATTATTAATTAAAGCAATTATTTTCAGGGAAACGCAAAGGCTAAAGTAGTTCCAGATCACATGTCCATATCACTTCGCCAAACGATTCATTTATTTCAGAGGTCCTTACAGTCTACAACAGCAAAAGAGCCAAAACCCACAACGACTGTGAACAAGCAAATAAATATAGTAAACAATAGGACAATGTGTTTTTTGCCACAAAATTACATTTTATTATGTACGGAAAGCACATACTGTACTTTCTCCCACTCAGCACAGAAACATGTTGTCAGCACTGCTGTAACGATTTCATCAGTAAAATAGTTTAGCAATTTAAAAGCTACATCACATTTCTCACTAGCGAGGTAATAGCCGTGCTGTTCTTGAATCAGATAAACTTACAGTTTCGCTATTAGTAAAGATGCTGCTGCCGAACACTCTTGAGACACGCACAGACTCAGGTAATTCACACACGCTTAATCTCTCTCTCTCTCTAATAACTGCATTAGTCTGCTATCAAAGGCTCAAGCCTCCGTTACTAGCTCTAAAATGACGCTTTGGCGTGGGATGAGATGCGTAAGAAATTAGTCCTACACACAAGAGTGTTTTAAGGAAAAAAAAACTGACAAATGTCTTGAAAAACAACATCTGAACAATGCCTTTAGGTGTGGTAACTGTGGTATAAGCCAAACTATTGTCAGTTTAATGATTGAAAAATAGTGCACACCCAAGATGTAACTGCCAAAAAGTTATATTCTAAAAACTAATATTCTTTCCTTAATTCTCAACATAGAACTGAGAATAAAATGCAATGGTGAAATTTTACTGCCTTGAAAACCCTTTGCCCCCCGCTTTTTTATTTTTATTTTTTTGCTGAATTTTGAACAAAATGAACAAAATTCAAAAATTCAAAAAAGAACATATATATATATATATAACTATCAGTGCTTTGGTTTGGAGGCTATAAAGAAAGTTGGCTCTCCGTCAGTGGAAAAGGGAATTCTTCAACTGATGCCTGTAGATACTGCTAATACGTTAATAATGGGCGAGCAGTCTGGCTCCCAAGGGGCTGCAGTCACGATAACTGGCTCAGATCGGTGCTAGACTCTAAATTTTTCTAATCTCCAGAAAGTGTCTGATATGCAGGAGAATGCGTGCATATTTCTGCGTAATTTTATGCAACCTGAGAGGATCTGGAGTGACCGTGCAGTATTCGTGTTGCCCATGTTCAGTCCCTTTTTTTATGCATTTTTTGGCCAGCTCAAGGAGCTTTGTTTCAAACTCTTGGCTACTTTGTGATTTGGAAATCCGCCATAGAGCAAAAAAAGTGGGTACATGCAAGGAGATGGGTTTCTGCGATTAGTACCCCAACATAACACAATGCTGGTAGAGACTCTTCGCAGGGGGTCTGGAAGGAGCCACACCACCAAACCACCTTCACAGCTTGAGTTTCTGTTAAACAGGTCAGCTAAGAATCATAGTCTTTTAGACGTTTGGCTCTGGTTTCCAAAGGGCGAAGCCTGCAAAGAGCAATGGTGCCTTAGCTTGTGTTATGATGCCAAGGGATCCAGCCTGAGAAACTGGTGCCATCTTTTAATCAATAGGGCAGTGGTTTCAGAGTACCACCTCTGGGGCAGCGGAGAAAGGCAACCTCTCAGATGTTAGATGATACAAGCCAGAATACAATCTTATTACCCATGATTATTTAAGAAGAGAATATAATGTCAAGTTCTGACCAAGTTTTGATTGTTTTGGTAGGATTTTAAACCTTAGATCAGGTTGGATTTACATAGGTTGATTTGGTGCAGCATACTAGGAAATAAAGCATAGCCATGCTGCTTACCAGCCAAACTTATGAGGTTGGTTGTCCATCGTGATCTTTAAAGTGAAGTTGTTTGAACCTGTGTTATTTTATTATTATTTATATGCTATTAGACTAGTAAGGAATAATCTAAAGCTAGCTGTGCATTAAACAATTATAATGCCCGAATTGAAGGAAAGTAATCACCAGACGCAAAGCCAAGGTGCATTCAAATCGTTGTGCATTCAATGCACATCTAGCCGTGGATTAATCCGCTTAATCAGGATTGGCAATTTACAGCTGTTATTGATTGCAGCGCAATATTTGACTGGAAAGTTACTGTCAGTTACAGCTCGTTAGATTCTGTCCACTTTGAATCAGACAAAGATAAAGAGATAAAGTAGTGTGTAAGATTGCGTTTACTTTCGTGAATGAATTATAGCATTCATTTAAATTCATTATTGAGAGAGGGAGTGTGTGTGTGTGTAAATTAACTGCGTCTCTCTCAAAGAATCTGAGTTGAATTACTTCAAAACCAGCGATGAAACCCCCTCGTTGCTGAGAAATATTATTTAGTGATGCTACTTCTATTAATAAAAATTACGGGGCAGCGTTGATAACATGTTTCTGTGGGTGTGCAGTGCGACCTCCGCTGTGTCTGTGTGTGCTTCAATGAAAACAGCATTAATATAGCGCGGTGATTAAACTGACTTCAACTAGCTGTCCATTAAACGATTTTATTGCATACCTTATATGCCAAGGCATATTGAATTTTATTTTAACTTTATTTCAGTTTAAAGGCCCTTGCACTCTGAGTCCGAAATTTTCGTATGCATTTTTCCGATTTTGTGATTCGGTGGCTCTGAATTGTCAAAACACCATTGAAACTCCAGTCAAACTGCTTGCTACGGATGCGAAAAACGCAGAAAATCGGAGCCGATCCGATTTTTTTTATGACGGACGAAAGTTTCGCTTGCGTGCAAGTGTGATTGACATAACGTGAGGTCGTATTTGCTTTTTAATGTGCGAAAATTTCAGACGCAAGGGTCTTTACTTCTTTAACTTAAGAACCCTACAACAAATGCTGGTCTTGTTGGCTTCCCTAACCAGTTGTTTTCTCCAAATAGGTGTTTTCCGTGGATATGGATGGGTCGCATTTGCAGGTGGTTCTGAACGTATCCGTGGACTATCCTGAAAACCTCGCCGTGGACTGGGTGAATAATAAGCTGTATGTGGTTGAGGGCAGCGTCAACAGAATCGACATGGTGGACTTAGACGGGAGCAATCGGGTCACGTTGATTGCTGAACACCTGGGCAACCCAAGAGGTCTCGCGCTTGACCCGACTGTGGGGTGAGTTCCCAGATAAGAGGTTAGACGGGTCCCATTGACTTTAATCTTATCCTAGCTTCCTCCATATAATCCGTGCCCATTGTTGGTAATATCATAAATCTGATCTCGGATCTGCAGCATCAGATACTGAGAACGGGAATGTTGTACACTGTCTGTAAGGATTAGTCAGAAGTAATTAAGCAAAGATGAGCTTCATGGAAACCCGATAGGGCTGTATGGCCAGGTGGCCCCCTGCTAAATTGAGAAGTGACAATTAATGCGTAAAGTTGAATCGCTGTGGATCGTGTTTGAAAATAAAGTTCTTTGGGTATTTATTTCAAAATCTCGTTCTTATCCCCAAGGGTTTATCCGTAACCCAATACTGTCCAAACTGAGCGCTAACAGTATATTCGAGTAAATACCTTTGAAGTTCAAGTCTTTGAGAGCAACATTAGATTGATAAATCACGGTGTGTCATTATAATAGGATAATTTAATATAAGATTATTTCCTCTTTTTATTGTAGACAGTAAATGTGATTTTAAAAGAATGTCTTGTGTCACAATGAGTTTATTGTGCTTGAGTTTAGGTACCTCTTCTTCTCTGACTGGGATACTTTGAATGGGGAACCAGGTCTGGAAAGGGCCTACATGGATGGCACCAATCGATATGGGATCATTAGGACCAAACTCGGCTGGCCTGCTGGGATTACTTTGGACCTTGAGGCCAAGAGAGTGTATTGGGTGGACAGCCGTTACGATTACATTGAAACCACAACCTACGATGGCTTGCATAGGTATCTTCTACAAGTTGCAGAGACATTTCATTTGGGAATGCATGCTTATTTTCCCATGTTGTTTCCAGAAGTGTATTAGGCTCTTATTTGACTTCTCCCATAGGAAAACGGTGGTTCATGGTGGTTCTGTGATTCCTCATCCATTTGGCATTGCTTTGTTCGAGCATTCGGTCTACTACACTGACTGGACTAAGATGGCAGTTATGAAGGCTAATAAATACAGTGACAACAGTCCTCAAGAACTCTACAAGACCCCTCAGAGACCACATGGTCTGACTGTGGTCCATGCATACAAACAGCCCTTTGGTAAGCAGCCTAGAAAGTGCATGTGCCGCTTAGTATGATTAAAATTAAACTGCTTAGATGTCGCCAACAGAATTTTAGTGTTGTTTTTGTTTCTATAAGAATGTGATTTCAATACAGTTTTGGTTTGCTGTGGTTTTGGTTCAATGAGTATTTTCCCACTCATATTCTCTAATGGCGCTTTTCCACTACACAGTACCAGCTCGACTCGGCTCGGCTCACCTGTGTTTGGTTTTCCACTGTGTAAAAGTTGTACCTGGGTACTTTTTTTTTTGTATCACCTCCAGCGAGGTTCTGAGCGAGCTGAGGCGATACTAAAACGTGATGTGAAAACAATGCCGACTGCTGATTGGTCAGAGAGAATCGTCACCATTCACTGCGTCATCATTGCATGCGCCAGATGGAGTATACAGAATAACCCCGCCATTTTTAAATAGTTTGGCCAGAGACAGTTAAACTTACTACTATTATTATTATGGCAACTCGAAACAATACGCCGTGGTCAAACGAGGAGGTGCTGACTGTCCTTTGTTTGGTTGCCAAAGAGAGGATCCAGCGAGAGCTTGATAGGGCTACGAGGAACGAAAGGCGTTGCTATGACGACCGGGTACTATTTGTGGCGGTACTGTCTGCAATGAAAAACGGAGCGAAAAGCGAGTCGAGACGAGCTGGTACTGGTAATGGAAAAGCGCCATAATTGTTGGCGTGCTAAAAGTGCTAAACGTGGTTCAAAAAGTTTTGTTGTGATAAAAAAAACACACACATGAAGATAATCAGAAATGCAATGTGATCTCATCTCATTTGTTGTGTAAACATTGTTAATCCGTCCTGTTGCATCCTGGACGGCAGTGAAACAACTGTGAATTAATCACTGTGCTTAGGAGAGGTTTTAAACAACAATACTGAATGACTGCTATTCTTTTTGTGATTTTATTTTGGTGACGTATGTTTGTTTGCTCGGCCAGTAAGTAACCCCTGTGGCCCTGATCGAGGAGGCTGTGAGCACATCTGTGTTCTGAGTCACAGAACTGATAATGGCGGTCTGGGATATCGCTGCCGCTGCCGGATGGGCTTCGATCTGCATGCTGACGGCAAGAGATGCGTTGGTAAGACAGATCTTAGTCACGCCTTGTGTCTGTTTCTTTGATTAGCATTTGCATCTTATTTTTTTATATATAATACATTAACCTTTTGAGATACAAGAACTTGATGTTTAAAGAAAACATATAATGAAAAATATGTCTCTTGCAGCTGTAAGGCAGTTTTTGCTGTTCTCCAGTCAGCTGGCGGTCAGAGGAATCCCCTTCAACCTGTCCACACAAGAAGACGTCATTCTACCTGTGACGGGAACTCCATCTTATTTTGTTGGAGTGGACTTCAGTGCTGCAGACGATTCAATTTTCTTCTCTGATACAGTGAAGGACATCATCTACAAACAGAAAGTTGATGGAACTGGTGAGAATGTATATAATATATATATATTAGGGGTGGCACGGTACATGAAAAAACACCCGAACCGTTCGGTTCGCTTGTCTCGGTTCGGAGCGCGTGTGCGTCTCACGGTTCGACGCATGCGCAATGAAACCTCGTGCCCGTATGTGACGTGTGTTTTCTTTTCGCGCGACATAAACTTGTTCGACTTGGACCGGCGCTGCACAGAGCGATCGGTGAATAACATCAGTCTAGCGCGAGTCGGCTCCGTATGCATTCATCACTTTCGCGGTATTTGATGTCATTACCGATCGCTCTGTGCAGCGCCGGTTCAAGTTAATAAACAAGCCAGTAAAAGTGGAGTATGGAGCGCTGCAGGTCACGGCACGCGGAGAAATGGCAAGTGGGAGAGATGAGGGAGTTGGAGGATGCGCCAGCGTCGTATAAGTCTATGGTATAAGTCCGGTGCAGTGCCGGCGCTATGGGGGGGCATTAGGGGGCAATGCCCCCCCAAATGTATTTTGTGCCCCCCCAAATTGAATTATGATATAATTTACAAAATAATATCAGTTTAATTTAATTCACATTTCAGTGAGAAATAGTACAAATATATGTCTACAAACGGCTCATTAGCTGAAAATACAATAAAGCCAACATAAAAACCAGTGTGACGCTGTGAGGAAACCCCCCTGCCGCCCCCCCAATCACGCACGTTAATACTTGAAATGATTTTCAGTTGGCGCGACCGCGCGAGCTTCCTGCATTCAAAACAAAGCAAACAGATGAAAACTCTCCAAAAATGGAAATTAGAAAATGGTTCAATACCACAGTTTCTCCTTACACATTGATTACCCCATACAGCAAGACAACGACAGCCCGGCTTTGGTATTTGGTGCTTCTACCGTGCAGTGTTGTAGTCGAGACCGAGACCAAAGACAGTCGAGTCCGAGTCGTAAGTGTAGCTATTTATCTAACTGTACTGTAATGTTCACTATGTGTTGTCACGCGATGAAACTAATAGTTTAGTTGGCCTAGTTTTGCGCTGCCCATTGTCCTGAAATGTCACTCACTCCCGCCGTGGAGAAACAGGTGTTTATAAGCCTATATTTTCTTGTAAATGGAAATTGTAGAATAATATCTGTGTATGTTGTGGGTGTTTTTTATTTGTTAAAGGTGTTAAAGGTTTTATTTGATAAAGGTAACTACATGATGCTTTTTTAAGGCTACGAATAAATGCTTATGTTAGAACATAGCAGAATAAAGATGAGTAACTTAGCTTTTTTTTTCTTAATTCCGCCATTGAGATAGCATATAAACGGCTATTCTGTCAGTGAGTGAGAGACTATGTACATGTTCGTTAGCTTTGCTATTATAAAGCTGTGGTCAGAGTCGGTCTTGCAATTTTTTTTTTGTATAGGCCTATTTAACCCTTGATCAAATTTCTTAAGAGTCGCTCGTCTTGCAACAATGTGTAATGTTTTATGTGTTTATTGTGTGGGTTGCATTACTTCATGTTAATAGCTAACAGAAAAGGCAGTAGCAATAATAAATATAGGATATCTAATATCGGAAAAAAAGTCCCCATACCTACCTAGTGCCCACCCATTGAAAATAAATGCCCCCCTGCTAAAAGCGGTCTGAAGCCGGCTCTGGTCCGGTGTGTGGGAACATTTTGGATTTCATGTTATGATATTTTAATTTAACTACAGTGGCACTTTATGTATAGATAAGAGCTTCAGGCATACGTTTCCAAACTATAGGCAATGAGGTTTCATGTATTGACATTTAAAAGACAGTGTTTTAAGAGTTCCTCTCTTTTTCTTTTAAAAGATAGAATTTTGGTAAGAGCTACAAAAGTTAGCAGTTGATACATGAAAGTTAATTTCTTTGTGTAAATAAGATTTATGTGATAAAAATGCACAAGTTCTTGTAGAGATAGTGATACACATTCTCCTTTTTTTGCCAAATAAACAAAAAGCATGTCAATTTCTTCTCTCTTGCTGTCTCTAAATCTCACCTAGCTTTCCTCTGAGATAGTCCCAAAATGTGCTTAAAGTCAAAGAGTGAAATTCAGTTTGTGCATGATTGCATGAATATAATATATATTTTTTTAATACTGTATCCTAAAGTGTGGATAATTAAGCTATATATCACATGCTGAAGTACATTTCTGGAGTGTTAAAGATTAAAAGAAAAAATAACAAGAACCGTACAGAACCGAAAACCGTGACCCTAAAACCGTGATACAAACCGAACCGTGGGTTTTGTGAACCGTTCCACCCCTAATATATATATATATATTAGAGCCAGACCGATATATCGGCAGGCCGATATTATCGGCCGATATTAGGCATTTTCCAAACTGTCGATATCGGCAGTTATAATGGCCGACAAATGAATATTTCAAAAATAAAATAAATCAGCTACTAATAATTACATTACGTTGTTACAGTGTAGTTGACTGACTGTCCTTTTATCTTTTGACAATGTGACTGAAGTATTTCTTTAATAGCACGTGACAGTTATAGCAATAAGACGTATCATCTCTCCTTGGCCTGTGAAAATGTAAATTTTACAATTTGCAGTATGACGTAATCCATTGCTAAATTATGGCTCATCATAGACTAGCTAACCACAAAGCTAGCTAATGCAACTATCATCAGTGGAAGACAGCAAACGTTAACATTAATGAGCTTTGGTTCCTATTTATTGTTCTGTTGCGACAATAAAAGAAACAAGTTTCTTTTTAAAATGCATTATCATATTATTTTAGTTAAAACTCATACATAACTACAAATAACTAATGTTAGGGAAATCTGTTAATGTTCTGTTGCACGTTTCTGAAAAAAAAAAAATATATCAGCTGATATATCGCAATATCGGATTTTAAAACCGACAAATATTTGTATCGGTATCGGCCTTCAAAATTCTTTATCGGTCGGGCTCTAATATATATATATAATAGTTCTGTCAAACGATTAAAATATTTAATCGCGATTAATCACATTAATGTCATAGTTAACTCGCGAATAATCGCAATTATTCGCCATAATTTTTTTTCTCATTTTAATGTTCTTATCAACATGGAAAAGTGGATCGGCTTGTTTTGTGCCAATGTTTTTTATTGAAAACAACATTGGCATGTACAGTGTTCAATTTCACACTAACATTCTCATTTGGAGCAAATAATCTCTCAAACAATGTAACACTGTCTATCAATAAAAGGGTGAAAGAAATACTGACGAGGTCCATGCTTGGCCATCATCAAGTGGTATTTCAGACTGGAAGTGCTATGATGATGATAGCTCAGTTCACGACGACAAAACACACATCACTTTGGTCTCGTCAATGGAACCATTTGGCAACTTTTTAAAAGTAAACTTTCCATTCAGAATCTTACTGGCATCCATTTCGGCATCTCGAGCTCATCATCCAATCAAAACGTAACATTAACCTACTTACTATTTGGCTGACTCGCAAGCCCAAGCAAGTGTGTGTGGCGTGCCCGTTGTTTTGTTTCCGGTCAAGCTAGATCCGCTCACGCTTTGGTCGATAAAGCAATAAAACGTCCTCGCGTACAAAGTTTGCTTGGCCAAAAAGGCTGTTAATCGCAAAACAAAAAAATTAATGCCGTTAAAATGTGTGTGTGTGTATATATATATATATTATATTGCTTATATTCACTGAAATGTTCTTCAGTTCGAATTCTCTTATCTCATTCATTTTGCTGGTGAACAAAAGCACAAAATCTTTGATGAAATGTCCTTGACCTGTAGGCAGATAAAGCGAGAAACTGATACTCACTTGAATACTCCATTCAGCCCTCGGGATGTTTGCTGTGTGCCAACAACACATTTCGCTGCATGTGATCTCTGCTATCAGCTACCTTCAAAGGCCAACTACATGAGATAATGTGTTCGCTGGTGTTGGACTACATTTCTAAAATAAATCCAGGACACTAATACAGTCCTCCTCCTGACTCAACCCAAAAAATATAGACAGTTCATTTTATTCATCACTTTTAAGTTGGGAGGCAAGCAGCTTAGTACCAAAGGTCAGCCAGCGTGACCCAGAGCGGATGATTAGCGTTTCAGAAGGGGTAACACACATGGGAGCCTGGTACATTTTGGGGCAGGAAAATACAATTTTATGTTTGTTAGCTTTAAGTTTATCTTCACTACCATTCAAAACTGTCCAATATGATTGACAATTAGCTTGACTAACGTGACCTGTCAGAACTGATGCTATGCTTGGTATCTGTAAGATTTTTGTAATAGTTTCAAAATAAGTCTCTTATTCTCAAAAATACATTCAAAACTGTAATGGTTAAAAATCTTTTTTTTACATTTTTAAAAAAATAATTTTCCTGTGATGCAAAGCTGTATTTTCAGCATCATTACTCCAGGCTTCAGTGTCACATGATCCTTCAGAAATCATTATAATATGACGATTCGCTGCTCAGGAAACATTTCTTATTATTATCATCAATGTTGAAAACAAATATTTATTTGGATAAAACGTGATATATTTTTTTTCTGGATTCTTTAATGAACAGAAATTTCCAAAGAACAGCATTTATTTGAAATATAAATCTTTTATAATATTATTTTGATCACTATTGATCAATTTAATGCATCTTTGCTAAATAAAAGTATTAATATCTTTAAAAAACAAACGTACTGACCTCAAAATTTTGAACTGTAGTGTACTATATGCTAGTGTACTTATAAAAGTTAACCGAATTGGCTTTCAGAAGTCCAAATTACAACTTATGATCCATATCAATTGGCTTTCATCTTAGTTTTTTATCTGACATGCCCTCAACTTGGAAAGTTTCCCAACTTAAATACTTCCAATTTCAATAGTATGTATAGTTCACATGCCTCGTGCCAAAACAGGCACATTTTGCTGCAATCTGCATTGTTTCTTGCTTTCATAGCTCTTAAGTGTACATGCAGTATAGCAGTGGATAGCACTTTCATCTTTGTGTTTCTTTGCTTTAAACTGCACAGGCAGGGAGATCCTGGCAGCCAATCGGGTGGATGGTGTGGAAGATCTTGCTTATGACTGGATATCAAAGAACCTATACTGGACCGATCCACGGTACAGGAGTATATCTGTCATGAAGGTCGCGGATAAGTCCAGACGAGCCATTGTACGCAACCTCAACAACCCCAGATCCATAGTGGTCCATCCGGTGGCTGGGTGAGTCATTTATCAGCTAGTCTTGATATTGCTATTTTATATACATCAAAAAGAAAAGTAGTTAACACTGTGGCTCTCTTACAAAACTTAGTGAGCTACAGTACCTTGCTGTCCACCATATATATATACACTAGATGTCGCCTTGGCTACGGAAGTTCATTGCGACGAATGCGTCAATAGAGCCGCCATCATGGAACAGGGGAGCCCCTCCTCTTTAATGCATAAGTGTCAATGGAAATAAAATCAATATAAATCGTCATGAACGCGATTTTCTAGTTTTTTTTAGTTTGTACCAATGGTCAGACATCATTGAGTCCAGAGAAAATTTAAAAAAAATTTTTTACATTCTTCCTAGTTCAGATTTGGTTCGTGTGAACATCCATACTCAACACAAAAGTACGAAAATCCCTGAATTCGAAGTACAGGCGGAGATAGCTAGCTACTTCGTCTGACAAGACCCCTGTTCCAAGATGGCGGCGGTTTTGACACATGCTTAGAACCTCAAGGCGACATCTAGTGCATATATCTATGGCTGTCTACAGGCTAAGTAGGCTGCTATCTTCTAGGAAGTGAAATCAAACCTAATAAGTGACCCGTTTAGAGTGCAGTGACCTTACTGACCCTGATGTTGTTCCAAACCTGTATGAGTTTCTTTCTTCTGTTAAACACAAAGGAAGATATTTTCAAGAAATGACTTCATTGACTTCCATAGTAGGAAAAAAATATTCTATGGAAGTCAATGGGTGCCTAACTGTCTGGTTACCAACATTCTTCAAAATATCTTCTTTTGTGTTGTACAGAAGAAAGAAACTCATACATGTTTGTAACAACATGAGGGTGAGTGAAGGATGACACAAGTTTCATTTTTGGGTGAACTATCCCTTTAATGGAAAAAAAGGATTATGTCAAATGTCAACAGACGCAATTCAGCGAGGAGCGTGAGCCATAAGCACAGCTTGGGGGAGCAAAGCTTTCACCTCGCTTCTCTGTTTCTCTAAGACCATGAAAATAAAATCGTGCCACTTGTGTCCAGTCACACCTTTCATAATGCAGGAGGAGGTGCCCAGCCATTCATAGATTGCTCCAGCTTTGAACCTGGCACAGATAAAAGAGCTCTTTATGTCGTGGTAGTGGGACATTTCCAATGGCTTCAAAGTCATGAGGCCTCTGGGCCCAAGAGACTAGATTAGTGCTGCATGAAGGCTGGTATTGTAGTGCACACTAAGAACTTGGCTTAACGGGGGAAAGCCCCGCAGGGCACTGTCTATACCTAACAGTTTATAAATAAAACCCAGCGGAAGGTTTCGAAAGTGTCCCCACCTATTAATTTGGCGAGGGCACAGGGGGAAGATTTGGGGTGAATTTTGCATTATGTCTTCACGCTCATGCTGTCCCAAACATGGATGACTTTTTGGCCACTCTTTTCAGTTTAATGAATGAGGACTGAAGCTGTCAAACTCTAAAATGGGTCCAAAAGAGTGGTCCATATGTGTTAGGAACAGACTGAAATGTAAGACCGAAACTTTGAGAGTGCATATCAAACAATTTCTGATTGTTTTTTTTTTATTGAATTTTCATATAATACAAATATGACAAAACATCAACCACGCCCCCCCCCCCCCCAAAAAAAAAAATAATAATAATAAAATAAAAATAAAATAAAAACTCAGATTTTTATATAAAACAGGACCGTACCATAATAAGGCAGATTTGTGTAATAAAATAAAATAAAAAGCAACAACATTAGATAATGTATAACATGCATAAAATAATAATTACAAAAGATAAAGAGAATGACAAAAATAAGGTTAAAAGTCCAGAAAGTTACAATGTCACTTGTAATAAAATAGGGCGAAGAGAAGGTTCCAAAGCGTCCAGATATGGGGTCCAGACTTTGTAAAACTGGCCTGTTTTTCCCATGTAATACGTAAGTAAGGCGCTCCAGGGGGATCAACTCAAAAATGATCTTGTACCATCCTTTAAGGGAAGGAGATTTATCACTGATCCAATTAAGTAAAATATTTTTCCTGGCAGCAAAGGAAAGAATATTATAGAATTTCTTATTCAATTTCTGATTGTTAAAATTGTCTTTTGTATGTCTTTACAAATATGACAAATAAATATTCTGCCATTCAAAAGTTTGAGGTCGGTATGAGTTTTAAAATAAATGAATACTTAAACTTAGCAAGGTATTATATATATAGTTTTGGAACTTTTAAGGTTATTTTGCATCCTTTTTGAACTGTGAAAGATTTATTCCGCATTCATTATAATTGCATTTAAAACAGCTTGTTTTCCTCTGAGGAAAGAAAGTAAAAGATTGACATTTTAATATTAATTTACAATATCTTTTGGGTGAACTATTTCTATTAAAGTCATGTATGTGTCTTTGTGTTTGGCAGTTATATTTTCTGGACCGACTGGTACCGCCCTGCGAAGATCATGCGGGCCTGGGGTGATGGGTCACATGCTCAGTCGATTGTAAACACCACTCTCGGCTGGCCCAATGGCCTGGCCATTGACTGGAGGTGAGTTATATTTCCCAGAATGAAACCACAACAATACAGCATTCGTTTGTGCTCATAATACCACAAACAATAATCCATCTCTGTTTCATTCATAAATCTGCCTCTCTTTTTTTTACTTTGATGGCTTCCTAAAGCGTGACTCATCGTTGTTTGTTTTGTTGCACATTCAATGCACACCACTCCTAATCTCATTAAAACCATGATCGGACATAATCCTGTTTCTCAGCCTTGGCCTAAACCCCTCTGTTCTTGATCATGTCTCTGCCTCTCAGCGCCATGCGATTGTATTGGGTGGACGCCTTCTTTGATAAGATCGAGCACAGCAATTTCGATGGACAAAACAGACTGTCTTTGGAACGCATCACCCAGATCTCCCACCCATTTGGACTTACTGTATTTGGAGGTGGGTTTATCAATATACCTGTCTGTCTGTTTGTCTGCCTTTCTGTCTGTCTGTCTGCCTTTCTTTATATCTGTCTTGTCTGTCTGCCTTTCTGTCTGTCTGTCTGCCTTTCTTTATATCTGTCTGTCTGTCTGCCTTTCTGTCTGTCTGTCTGCCTTACTGTCTGTCTGCCTTTCTGTCTGTCTATCTGTATGCCTGTCTGCCTGCCTTTCTTTATGTATGTCTGCCTTACTGTCTGACTGCCTTTCTGTCTGTCTGTCTGTCTGCTTTTCTGTATGCCTGTCTGCTTTTCTGTCTGTCTGTCTGTCTGTCTATCTGTCTGTCTGCCTTACTGTCTGCCTGCCTTACTGTCTGTCTGCCTGCCTTTTTGTCTGAATGTATGTCTGCCTTACTGTCTGTCTGCCTCTTTGTCTGTCTGCATTTCTATCTGTCTGTCTGGCTTTCTGTCTGTATATATGTCTGACTTTCTGTCTGTCTGTCTGCCTTTCTATCTATCTATCTATCTATCTATCTATCTATCTATCTATCTATCTATCTATCTATCTATCTATCTATCTATCTATCTATCTATCTATCTATCTATCTATCTATCTATCTATCTATCTATCTATCTATCTATCTATCTATCTATCTGTCTATCTATCTGTCTATCTGCCTATCTATCTTTCTATCTATCTATCTATCTATCTATCTATCTATCTATCTATCTATCTATCTATCTATCTATCTATCTATCTGTCTGTCTGTCTGTCTGTCTGTCTGTCTGTCTGTCTGTCTGTCTGTCTATCTATCTATCTATCTATCTATCTATCTATCTATCTATCTATCTATCTATCTGTCTATCTGTCTGTCTATCTGTCTGTCTATCTGTCTGACTTTCTGTCTATCTATCTATCTATCTATCTATCTATCTATCTATCTATCTATCTATCTATCTATCTATCTATCTATCTATCTATCTATCTATCTATCTATCTATCTATCTGTCTATCTGTCTGTCTGTCTGTCTGTCTGTCTGTCTGTCTGTCTGTCTGTCTGTCTGTCTGTCTGTCTGTCTGTCTGTCTGTCTGTCCTGAGATGCAGCTGACTTCTAAAAGCAGTCTAAATTAAACCCACAGACTGATGTACTTTTAATTTAATTAATCAATGTCTGTCATCATCACATTAGTCACACAGGCCTGTTCTTTGATGATTGATAGTCATTTCTGGTATCTGTGAAATGCAGGTAATCATGCAGCTTACTTAAACTTGTGTAGTTCGTCTGTGTTGAAAGATAAAAGGGCCTAAGTCAGAGTTCATGGACTGGTATTTCACAGAGATAGCTCGCTTGATTACATTAATGAAGTTTTCTGGTCCAGGTTACGTGTACTTCACCGACTGGCGGCTGGGTGGAATCGTGAGGGTCCGTAAAACAGACGGAGGGGAGATGATGATCATTCGCAGAGGGATCAGCCACATCATGCACGTCAAATCTTTCAACGCTGACACACAGATTGGTGAGATTCACTTTCATCTGTTTATTGATGAATTTACTTCACTCAAATTTTCCACAAACTGGTTTGTAAATCCCATTTATCCACATACAGGAAGCAGCTTGTGTGTTTAATCAATAATGTGCATTGCTTTTCACCCACAACAGGATCTAACTTCTGCAGCAGACAAACTAACCCAAATGGAGATTGCAGTCATTTCTGTTTCCCAGCACCATACTCCCAACGAGTGTGTGGCTGCCCGTATGGAATGAAGCTGGAAGCGAATCAGCAGACGTGTGTTGACGATCCATCCAATGAGCCGCCGACCCTCCAGTGTGGCTCAAACTCCTTCTCATGCACTAACGGGAAGTGTGTCCCTCAGAACTACCAATGTGACGGCGTCGATGACTGTCACGACAACAGTGATGAGGCCAACTGTGGCGCTAATAGTAAGGTTTAATATTTACATTCATTCACGCAAATGTGTATGCACGGAAAGCTGTGTGATATACATTTCAAATTGATGACAATTTTGCTGGCACAATACAATTATGCAACATCCTGAATTACATTTATGCTGTTGGCAGACATTTTTTTCCAGAGCAAATTACAGCAAAAAAAGCCTCTTGCGGAAATAATCAATCAATGCCAAATCCCATCTTCAGACCTCAAGCCCCAAATCAACCAGTATATATTAGATAAATGGCACAGAATGGGAAGAATGGCAAGATTTTTTGAAATAAATCCTGTGGTAGGAAAAATAAGCATCTACCTTTTTAAATCCAGACATGATGAGTCGAATAGGCCATGCTTTACTGATTCATGGCCATGTATTGATGGGTAAAGATGTCTGTAAAATGTTTTTGGTTTGCCCAATTTTTAATGTCATGAGACAATGATTTTTTATCATGGCAGTACTTGTTTAGTAAGATGGACCCAGTCTTTTTCACTTGTAATGAAAATAAAAATCTCCCCCACTCTGCTGGCTCACAGATAACACATGCTCGCCCACTGCCTTCACCTGTGCCAATCAGCGCTGTGTGCCCAGAAGCTGGCACTGCGACGGACACAATGACTGTTTTGACGGCAGTGACGAGAGGGACTGTCCCACCCAGACCCCTGGCACTTGCCAGGCGGACCAGTTCAGCTGTGCCAACCATCGCTGCATCCCCCGCACATGGCTCTGTGACACCGACAATGACTGCGGAGACGGGTCCGATGAGACCGACTGTGGTGAGGCCTTGGCTACTGTTAATTGATTGTATAAACTCTTTTAGTTTATTCTTAGCTAAAAACACTTAGTTCTTTTAAAAAAAATGTGCTCATTTATGTATATTTACTGTGTTCAAGTAATAAAGTATTCTCGTGAGTGTATAATATGCCATTGAAAATACATACGGGTAAGGGGTTCTAATGTTGGTCGCCATGTTGCCCCTCCATCTTGAAAGTACATTAGCCAAAGAGGGACATACCCGTTAATTCAAGCTTCGCCTTTCGCGTTTACGTTTGAGTTAACACTCATGGACGAGGTCGAACTGGAAGCCATGTTAATCTTGGACTACATTGGCCACCGTAGGAGTTAAAACGAAATCGGAATTGAGAGGAACAGAAACTAATATTCACTGGATGCTCATATACCTTTTCACCGCTAGATGGGGGTAAAAATCACACAGTGTAGCTATAAATTCTGATTGGATTTCAAAGTCGTTACAATTTTGTTTATATATTTGAATTTGCAGTGAGGTTGCAAACAGGATGCAGGAGTGCAAGGTTTTATAAGCCTTAGTTAAATAAACGCATAGATCTGTACTAAACGTAGATTTGTACACATTTTCTTCCAGTTGACAGAAATGTAATTCAATAAATTCACCTTGCTCTAATTCCATGTCCACTTCCTGTGGGGGTGGGCAATTCTAATTCCAACTCATTAGTTGAAAGGAAACCAGTTCTTAAGCAATGTTTTGCGGAAGTTTGAATACTTAAATGGATAGTTCACTTTGAAATACATTTTTGGTATGTTTTAGTTTACCTCAAGGGCATCCAAGATGTAGGTGTCTTTGTTTCCGCAGTAGTTTCAATTTTGATATTTTTAGGTCAAACCGTTCTTGTCTGTCAGTCATATAATGGAGACCTATGGTCACCACCTCAAAGAGCATGCACAGAGAAGTCCAAATTAAACATGATTTAATGACTTGTAAATATAAGTACACATTGATGGCCTAAGACACGAAACGAGCGGTTTTTATCTTGGATGCCCTTGAGGTAAGCTAAAACATACCAAAAATGTATTTCAAAGTGAACTATCCCTTTAAGGTTTGGGGTTTTGGGAACTTCCTAGCCTTAAGTACAGAATAGTGAAGCATGTCTTAGTGATCACAGTTAACCAGGACTGATAAGACAAAATCAGAGGGAGATCTGTGTCAATCTGTGGATTGTTATGCATATTTATAAATATATTTAAAAAGTTTGGAAATCATAAAATGAACTCATGCTGCATATTTATCATCAAATAATGTTAAAACAAAATGATCTGAACTATGTGCTGTTCATATTAATTTCATAGCACTATATTCTTACTGTATGTGAACAATTTGTCAATTTTTATTTCTCTTACCTCTGGTTTCACAGACAAGGCTTAAATCTAGTCCCAGACTAAACTGCATGTTTGAGCTGTTTTAACTGAAAGCAACTTGCTCTGAGATAACTCAAATATGTTAGAGATAACTCAAGCTCTTTTTTTCTAAGGCACATTTATTAAAGCTACTTAATTGTCCTAATTGAGGCCTAATCCTGAGTTAATCCAAGCCCTGTCTGTGAAACCAGGCCTTAATGTATTTAAAGAGAAACATCTGAGACAAAGTTGATTTTGAATAAAACATACTGTAAATTAGAAGTCTCTTGAGCTTTGAATGGGCTACTTCTGAGCAATGAACTTTTCTTGTGGTGTTACTTTCTCTAGATTCTCTTGGCACATGCCACCCTGGTCAGTTCCAGTGTCCGGACCACCGCTGCATTGACCCCAGTTACGTGTGTGATGGAGACCGAGACTGTGCAGACGGGGCGGACGAACAGGGATGTGGTGAGAGTTCATTCTATGCATTTAACCTGCAATATTGTTTAGCTTAGAATTGCAGAACGTACTTCTAAAATGGTAATGATATTTTATTTCTTTACAAATTAAATGTATTTCAACATGAACCAGACATGGCCGTGCCAATTATGAATTATCTATGCGCACAAATGTAACTTTCACGGTATAAACAATATGATAGAATCTCTAATGGATGTTCAATTTTTAATTAGTAATTCTTTTTGATCATCAGTGTACAACTGCACAGCCTATGAGTTCAAGTGTGTAAACGGGCATCAGTGTGTCAACTCATACTACCGATGTGATGGGGTGTTTGACTGCAACGATCGCTCGGATGAATCTGGCTGTCGTAAGTATGAACAAATTAATTTTAAGTTTGTCTTTTAGAACTTCAGTATGTCTTTCAATCATGATAATTGTGTAGGACATTGCATTGCGTATGAAATATGGAAATGGGTGACGTCCACTTTACACATTCTATAACCTAACAGTCTACAAATACTCGAATTAGAGTTATCTGACATGTAGTTGCAAATTAATGAGAGTTAATTGACTCTTATTTAGTAGAATGTCTAAAGTGGATTATCGAAATACAGTGTAACCTGATTTTTTTCTAAAGAAAAATGTAATGTTTTACTATTTTTAAAAAAAAAATTGCATTGAAATAGAACCATGTTCTTTATTCATTGAATTAAACATTTATGTTAAACCTCAGGAAACCCTAACATCTGTGTTGGATTGACTTGCATGCATTAACTTAGCATGACCTTTGACCCTTCCAGCCACTAGGCCACCCGGCATGTGTCACCACGAGAGTGAGTTTCAGTGCCAGTCAGACGGCAGTTGCGTTCCCTCGAGCTGGGAGTGTGACGGGCACCCAGACTGTGAAGATGGCTCAGACGAACACCACGTCTGCCCACCGAGGACATGTCCCACCTCACAGTTCCGCTGCGATAATGGGAACTGTGTTTTCCACGGCTGGATATGTGACGGAGATAATGACTGTCGGGATGGCAGCGATGAGCGAGACTGTCCCACGCCACCGTTTCGCTGTCCCAGCTGGCAGTGGCAGTGCCCAGGACACAGTGTGTGTGTTAACCTCAGCAGGGTGTGCGACAACACTCCAGATTGTCCCAATGGGGCGGACGAATCCCCTCTCTGCAGTAAGTCGCGCCATATGTTTTACTGAGATTTGCAAGACATATACAGTACACTACCATTCAAAAGTTTTGGGTCAGTACGATTTTTTAAAGGGCGTTTCTTAGGCTCACCAAGGCTGCATTTATTTGATCAAATAAACAGAAACAGATATATTGTGAAATATATTTGACACAATATCATATATAAAGATGTAAAGTGTCATTTATTTCGCTGATGGCAAATCTGAATTTTCAGCATCATTACTCCAGTCTTCAGTGTCACGTGATCCTTCAGAAATCATTCTAATATGATGATTTGCTTCTCTTATCAGTATTTTATCATATTTTTGTGGAAAACAGGTTACAGAAATTTTTAAAAACAGCATTTGTTTGAAATGTTTTGTAACAATATCTTTCCTGTCACTTTATATATATATATATATATATATATATATAATATACTTTTCCAAAAAATTGTATGTTACTGACCTCAAACTTTTGACAAGTAGTCCATAAACTGTATAAAGAATTTTGACAGTTTTTGTTAAGATTAGACGTTGATGGTTGCTTTTAGCAATAAGCTCCCTAATGAACTTCTGGGCTTGTTCTAAAACTTAAAGCAACACTAAGTAAGATTTTTTACCTTAAAATAACGTTTCCAAAATCGTTTCAGTTGTTCATTAAGTAGTAACAGGGTGAAAGGCACTTCTGGATTCGCTTTGCGGTCCTATATCTGCTATAACCACCCTATGTAAGAGTGCCAGATCGGGTCGCGTTTCTGTAGTTCTAATGAGACGTAAGAAAACTACAAATTTGACTTACTACACGTCAAACGTTACAATAGTCATTATTTTGTTTTTCTTTGTTTCTGATGTCGCAATACATCATACTTTAATGAAATCATGTAACATGCTCTACCTTGTCTGTGGACATCGTTCATTCCAAAGCCAGTGTTGATAAACAACGAGTCTGTGTACGACAGTACGATGCGCTAGGCTAAATTAATAATGGACAATTACGCTTTCAGCCTGTAGGGCGACCACAGAGGAAAAGTTACTTGGTGTTGCTTTAATGAGCTGCCGATGTAGGTAGACATTCTTACATTACATATCATGTTCACTGAGTTGCTGCTTATGTAGTTTTCTAAATTGATCTAGATGATTTTTCATTCATGCTTAGACAGTGGACAGCAGCAGGCAATCTCATTGGGTTTGAGAACACGGCCCTGGTTTTTAAAATGAATTAATTAAATAAAAAAATGTCGGTGTATATGGATTGGAATAGTTGTTTGGATAAATACTAATGAGGGTTGAAACAGCTTCCCAAAACGATTAGCCATTATTGTACATCAACATGACATAAACAGCCCTTATTCTGCAGATCAATCCCACAAGTATATATTCTGCTTTGTCTCATTTAAACAGTGCTAATGCTTATGGTTGAAACATGGTTGAAAGTCTACACTTTCATTTGATACAGGTTCCTGTGTTTAGTACCTTTGTTAAGTTTAAACCCACAGATGTTGTTGATTACCACAGAAAATAATTGTTATACCTCATTCATAAAAAAGTGAACACCTTCGCTCTTCCAATGGGGCATTGCATTACATCTGAATACATATTAAAATACACAGTTTCATGATGTTTGTTACTGCTGAAACTAAAACTATTAAAAATGTTTTCGTTAATTGAGATAAAGCTGAGGGAAAAACTTAAACTTGCACTTAAAAACTAAAGAAAGAACATTAGAAATGCTCCCTTGGTAATTAACTGATATAAAATAAGCTTAAGTTAAAGTACTAAAATAAAACTAAAATTGAAATTAAAATAAATTATAAAAATTAGGGCTGTCAAACGATTAATCGCGATTAATCGCATCCAAAATAAAAAGTTTGTGTTTACATAATACATGTGGGTGCACTGCGTATAATTATTTTGTATATATATAAATACACACATAATGTATAATATAAAACACATAAATATAAAATAATTATACACACTACACACACATATATTATGAAACAAACTTTTTATTTTGGATTGCGATTAATCGTGATTAATCGCTTGACAGCCACAGAACTCACTCAATTGTGAGTTTCTATAAACAAGATTTAATCGAAATTATTTTCTGTGCTAATCAAAAGCATGCCCCAGATGCTGTTGTTTCGTGTATTGAATAAAGAACATTAATTTACATTGAAATCTTTCATCTTTCTCTTGATATTGAAACCATTAAATAGCAATTGATGTGGTCGGTCAGTTGATTCCAATAGTTCATGGAGTATTCCAGAATGTTGTCTGTGTTATGAATCCCATTTGCCATCAAATCATGCATGTGTTTAGCAAATCTGGAAATTAACATTGAAATGATCTGTGATTTTCCTTCCATGTTGCCTTCCCTTCTCACAGATGAGCCCTTACCAGGTAGGCTGAATCCCTAATCACCCACAATCCTCTGCATGAAGCACTAATCTATCCCAGAATCTGCCTGGCTATACTCACTAACCATCAGTGTGTGTCTGAATATGACAAAATTGTGTGTGTTTAGCATTATAGAGATGTAGTTTGTAGTACTATTTACATGTGTTAGTCCATAGAAATGGTACACAACCAGTGATGGATCTCACCCAATACCAGTTCCAGAAACAAGGACAATGGATTTAAATAGTAAACATGAGGGCTGGGGAATATATTGAATATTCACAATATATCTGCAATGATCATCATGAACATTAACTCTTTGCCAACCTGTGTTTAAAAAAAAAAAAGAAAAAGTTGTCAGTCAGCGCCTTTTTTTTTTTTACAATTATTTTCATAAAATTTCATGCATTACTTTTTGATCAAGGCTTGAAAGTGGGTAATTTTGTTTTTATACCTCTTTGTGGGTTTGACATTTCATACGGTAACATGCCTAGATAATTTTTAACTTTTGAGTTCTACTGTATCATTATCTTTGAGATACTCTTATAGTTTTATGTTGAATTAGTTCTTATTTTTAAAATTTCTGTTTTTATTTTAATTATTTGTTAAGTCTTTTTTTGTTTATTTTTGTCTTTTTTGTTGTTGTTGAAAATGTTTTTTATGTTCTAATATGTAATTTAATACTTTTTTTGTTTTTTTTTAATGTCTCAGTTATAGTTTTAGTTATTTAAGTACATCAAGTTGAATTAAATAAAAATTAGATTTTTTTTAATTAGAAGTTTTTTTGTTTTTAGAAGTATTTTTTTTTTTCAGAAGTGTATTTATCTCAGTTAACATTTATTTTAAGTAAAAAAAAAATTGTTTTTTGTATAACCACTGTACGATTTGTTTTTAGTTTTAGTTAATTGAAATACATTTTAAAGTCAATGATCAAAAATGGCTGTTTAATCACAAAAATGGTTTATCTGAATGAAAAAAACACATTTTCATGCGGTTTTAGAATAAATATGCAAATATAGATATTTTGTTTAATTCATATTGCCCAGTCCTAGTAAGCCCTTTAATGGTTGTCCTTACCATGTTCCCACAATACCTTGTGTCTTCATGCATATGATATGCTTCACATTGGCATTCATCTTGACTTTTCTGCTTGGTCGTAGATCAGGAGAGCTGCTCGGATAACAACGCGGGCTGCACTCACGGCTGCATCCAGGGCCCGTTTGGAGCCCAGTGCACCTGTCCCATTGGCTACCAGCTGAGCAACGACTCAAAGACGTGTGAGGACATGGACGAATGCCATCCTCTGGGCGTCTGCAGTCAGCACTGTTTCAACGAGAGAGGCTCCTTCCGATGTCACTGCCAGGACGGATACACTCTGGAGGCAGACGGACGCACCTGCAAGGCCTCAGGTTTGTGCGTCTCCTCTGAGCTTTGTGATCTCTGAGCGAGTGGAGCCATGCTCGGTCTCTGAGGGCCGACTGGACCAGCTCAGCTGGGTCTGGTGCAGCTTCTCGGATTACCACAGATAAGACAAATAACATATATGTCAGTCACAAACTTTCTTACGGGGGTAATTAGGAGGTAATCACCAAACAAAGGGTTGTTTATGAGCTCTGCCGCTGACAAGAGCCCATTCCCTTGAGATAACCTGTTGAAAAATGCTGTCATCCGATATACCTCGTCTTCTTTCTGAATGTTGCTTTTCAACGGGACTCTTTTTTTTTATCCTACTATTTGGCTTTGTTAGATATGTCTTGCATAGTTTTATAACTGAGAGCTGATACATGAAGAAAGTTTGGATTCGGTTCGAGTCCTGCGAGGTTATTTGATACGTTTTGAGATAATTGCGATCATTGTGGACTTCGTATTTGGATGGTAATATGTGATTAAAGTATAAAACACAAAATGCTTACATTCCAGGCTGAAGTTGGACAGAAAAAAAGTTGGAATTATGTTTGTCATGATGGCGAAACAAGATAAGACGGATTATGCTTGAATGAATGGAGTTTGAGTTTTATTTACAAAATGGGCATTTGAATGAATTTCATTTCAAAAGTAAAAGTTTTTCTAAATGGATGAATATGACTGGATATGATCGCACAGTATATATATCTATATATATATATATAAATATATATATGAAGAGTTCAGATGCAAAAGCCTCTAAGTGCCATTTGAAATTTTCTTCTAAAATGATCATTTTTATCAAGCTTGTATATTTAAGTTCAGTAATTTCACTTAAATGGCAATGAAGATTACCTATTAATTGTCATTTAAGTGAAATTACTGAACTTAAATATACAAGCTTGATAAAAATGGTCATTTTAGAAGAAAATTTCAAATGGCATTTAGAGGCTTTTGCATCTGAACTCTTCATATATATATATATATATATATATATATATATATATATATCATTTCAAATAAATGTTGTTCTATTTCTACTAACTTAAGCATCATATAATTAGCATATTATAATGATTATTAAAGGATCATGTGACACTGAAAACTGGAGTAATGTTGCAGAAAATTCAGAAAAAATAGATATTTTAAATTGTAATAATATTTCACATTATTCTATTCTGTTCTGCATTCCTTTGTCAATCTGGCAGGATCTCGAGAGGCCTTGCTCTTAGTGGCGAGTCGGAATCAGATTATATCAGACGACATCCTCGCACAGCCAAACGCTATTCGATCTCTTGTGCGAGACGGCCGCAACATCGTAGCGGTGGATTTCGACTCAGTTACAGATCGTATTTACTGGTCTGACACCACCCAGGACAGAATATGGAGCGCTCACAAAAACGGAAGCGACCGCACCGTGGTGAGTGACACAAACGCTGCTCCGGCACCCTTACAGTAAACATGAACCATCAACCCCCAAAAATATCATTTCTCTTCCCTGCCAGATCTTTGATAGTGGAGTGACCGTCACCGAGAGTCTCGCCGTAGACTGGATTGGCAGAAACCTGTATTGGACAGACTACGTTTTGGAGACCGTAGAGGTGTCCAAACTAGACGGATCCCACAGAACAGTGTTGATTAGTGAAAACGTGACCAATCCAAGAGCTCTGGTTGTGGACCCTAGAAATAAGTAAGACATTTAATAAGTACATTGAGGAAAAAAAACTATTTTCACTCAGGAAATTGGTGTATAGTATATAAAATGAATTTAAATGACCATTGGTTGAAAAACGAAATCCCAGTTTGGCCTTTTCTATATGTATTTCAGCACGCACCTCATGTTTTGGACTGACTGGGGCAGAAATCCTCGCATTGAGAGAGCCAGCATGGATGGGAAGTTAAGGACTACGATCATCAGCAATAAACTTTATTGGCCCAATGGCTTAACAATTGACTACCCCAACAATCTGCTTTACTTTGCCGACGCTTACCTAGACTTCATTGACTACTGTGATTACGATGGAAAGAACCGAAAACAAGTGTTGGCCAGTGATTTGGTGAGACTTTTTGTTTTATGTGCACATTTATGTTTATGATTCTGTAGCTTTGCATGAACAATACTGTACACTTCCTTAGTGTTTTTGTCTTGTTTTCCAGGATAAATATCTAAACTTTCTTGAATCAAGAAATAATTACTTGAGATGCAATATGACATAATAATAAGTAATGTGTTCTGAAAAATATATAAAAAATATCTGCCAGTGGGGTAAGAAAATTAAAAATGCAGTAATTCAAAGGGAAAAAAAACTTGCCTTATTCGTCTTATGTCATTTAACGTTTAAAGCAAATGTAAATTTATTTAAGAATGTTTATATATTTGTACTGGAAAACACAAAAAAATATCAAGTAAGAAAAGTTTTTTTTTTCATTGCAAGGGAAATATGTTGCTATTTCAAAAAAGTAACATTTGGGCAGGAACTCAGCAATGATTTAAATTCAGGATTTCATTGTTTAAATACTAGGCCATAAAATGTTTAGTAGAAAGTATGTGAACGCAGATGCACAGTGTTTAATCGAATGCATACAATGCATTTAAATTTTATGGGCGAATGCAACTGTCTCTCTGAATGTCTAAACGATCAACATTAGGGCTGTGAAGCGATTAATCGCGATTAATCGCATCCAAAATAAAAGTCTGTGTTTACATTATATATGTGTGTGTGTAGTGTGTATAATTAATTTGTATATATAAATACACACATATGCATGTACATATTTAAGAAAAATGTGTTGTTAATATATCAAATATTTATGATTATTTATAAATATATAAAGTATATACATGCAAATATTTATTAAATATATACATGCATGTGTGTGTATGTATATATACAAAATAATTATACACACTACACACAAATGTATATTATATAAAAACATAGACTTTTATTTTGGATGCGATTAATCGCGATTAATCATTTCACAGCCCTAATCGACATTAGAGTGCATAGAAATCTTCTCAGCTTTTGGTCACATGATTAAGCATGACTTTTGCAAACCCTACCATTTTCCCTCTATGTCCTTGCAATGCACCATTCCCGTTTAAATGTACTCGGAGCATTTGCTAATGCAACATAAACTCTAGTTCGTGTATCTATTTCAACGTACTTGCATAATTTTGAATGCTTGTTTTTTTCTTTCATATTTACCATGTGAATAAATAAGATACCTCTTGTTTCTCAATGAAAAGGTACTTCAACATCCCCACGCAATTACCATTTTTGAGGATTTTGTCTATTGGACCGACAGATACGTCAACCGCGTGATCCGGGCCAACAAGTGGCACGGACAGAACCAGACGGTGATGCTGTATAATCTGCCCCAGCCCATGGGTCTGGTGGCACTTCACCCTGCCAGACAGCCTGCAGGTACAGCGCTTCACAACAGATAAACTTCCTGCTATCAAAGTGTTATTGTTAGGATTAAATGCAGCAAGCATTTCTGGAAGCCACTCCGATAAGAAAAAACATCTGTAAAGGGTTGAATAATAAGAGCTTTTTTTTTTTTTATTATATGGTAACACTTTATTTTACCGTGTCATTGTTACATGTTACATGCACAGTAGTTACTGTAGTAATAACTATAAATTATGCCTTAACAAAATATTACATGCTTTTAAACTTAAACCAAACCCTCATTCTTTACCTAACCCTATAAATATACTAAGTTTATTATTACTCAGTACTTAAATGTATAATTACACTGGAATACTGACACCTTAAAATATTACACTGTAACAATGAAACCTTAAAATAAAGGGTAACGCTTCCTTTTACAGTCCAGTTACCCATGTAAATACTATGTACTTATTTTATTAAATACAATTACTGGGTAATAACTAGTACTAACCCTGAACCTAACCCTAAATCTACCCCTGTTCCATGTACTTATCTTATATTAGCAAGTACTTTCTAGGTAAGTACACTGTAAGTACTGTACTGTTAAAGGAAGCATAACCAAATAAAGTGTAACCTTATGTAACACTTTATACTTAACATAGTTATAACAGTAAATTATGCATAATTACATGCAAATAGCCCTCAACCAAATCCTAATCCAACCCTAACCCTATATTACTCTGTACTTAAATATATAACTACACTGTTACAATGACACCTTAAAATAAAGTGTAACCATTTATTTTGTGAAAAAGATGTGAACTTAATCTTAATTTAAACTTAATTTCAATGTGAACTTAAAAGTATTCTAAAGTGTTCTTCTATGTCACAAAGTTTTAGAGGCGAAGCAATGTCATTTTTTTATCAGAATAAGAATAACACACCAATGAACCATGTTAAGAAAACATATAGGGTCAACATTGATTTGATTTTAACCTCAAAATATGTTTGTGTTCTTCCTGCAGGTTTTAACCCCTGTGACCCCCGTTCGAGCCCCTGCACTCATATCTGCCTGCTGTCAGCGATTGGTCCCAGGTTCTACTCCTGCGCCTGTCCATCTGGCTGGACTCTCGCCGCTGACCAGTTCACGTGTGCTAGAGGTACGAGCAGGGTTGCCAGATGCCAGCAAGATTTTCCAGCCCAAAACCTCGTCAAAACCCGCGAGAAAAGTCGACATTTCAATCTTTTCCATTTGTTTCAGTTCATTTTTGAGACGCGATCCAGTTCAAAACAGAGTGCTTCTGAAGTGCCGGTGTTTCAGCTACAAAAAAACCCGCCAAACTGATCCGAAACCAGCCCATTTTTATCCACCCGCCCAACCCCATTTTTGCCCGCAAAATAGATTGCAAAACTGCCCAATTGGGCGGGAAGCCGTCCAATCTGGCAACCCTGGCTACGAGAGACATCGGCTGATATGGGGTTTTCAGTGGCTGATGCAGATATCTTGAGAACAGAGTTACTTATGGCTAACAATACGTCCTAAAGTCAATGGTTTTTTTGAACGTGCTTTTAGTTAAAAGCCTGAGATAAGGTCTGTGGTGAACACAAACTCAAGATATTTTAATGTTTTATTCTGCAATATAAAATACACCAGTAATACCCATGTGATTTTTTAAAAGATTTTACGTTTCTTGGAAAGGGCGATTGATAACAAGTGGCTAATATACTCACACAAACTATTCTAACTCAAGCTTTCCAACTCGTAGATTAAAAGAGTTATCGGGAAAATTATTGGTGGTGATATTGAAGCCGTACTGTACAACCCTGGTGTAGTTCACTTATATCGTAACTTTAGCTTTTTACTCCTTGCGATTTGTATTTAGGCTTCAAAATGTATTCATGAAGATTATTTTGATGAGCAAAATGTGTAAGAATCATAGCGTCAGATTTACTAACAGCTTGCACTAGCGCAAACACTCTTGTGGTGTATAAAAACTGCTGTAAGGCACTGTAAAAAATATTGTTGGTTTAACTTAAAAAAGTAAGTAAACTGGTTGCCTCAATTTTAAGTTCATTGAACTGGAAAAAGTGAGTTAATACAATGAAGGAGATTAATTTAACCATCAAAAACTCAAAATGATATGTTATCTGAACTAAATAAATTATTTAAGTTGATTTGACAAAAGAAAAAATGTTGTGATTACTACGTACACTTTAAAAAAATATTGTTGGTTTGGTTGCCTTAAAATTTTAAGTTGATTGAACTGGAAAATGTGAGTTAATACAATGAAGGAGATTAATTTAACCATCAGAAACTCAAAATAATAAGTTATCTCAACTAAATAAATTATTATAAAGTTGATTTGACAAAAGAAAATATGTTGTGATAACAAATCTTGAAAATATTTTTTACAGTGTAAAGATACAAAATTAGCAATGAAAAAGCATGGACTGTTATAGGTGCATATGCATTGCATTTGTAGTGGATTTTCCTTTCTGATGCAAAATTGATGGACGAAGAGTATTTCAAAAATCATGCAATGTGGTTTACTAAGGTTTGCAATAGTCATGCTAATTTGCCCTGTTTGGTAAATATGGCCCATAAACTATTATTGGTCTCAGAGCTTCTTTTCTTCAATAATCCAAAAGCCAATGGAAAAATACCATTGGGTTTTTCGAGGGAAGCAGGGTGATGCGAACTTGCGAGTTGGCCTGCAAAAATACATCATTACTGCAGCACTCTATAAGAAATGGCCTTTGACCTTTTAAAGTAGTAAAGCTGTACCATCTAAGTTAACTTAATAAATACGCCATGGACAGAGATAAATGAGTTTAACAGTTTATTCCTGCTTGTGGCTGATGTTTTTTTTAAAGAATACTGCGTGTGTCTATGTCTTTAATGCTGGCCTCTGTCCATTTAATATGCTTTGCAGTGAATGAATGAAGCAGTCTTCTGTTAAAGTTGGATATAGATTTCAGGGGAATGAAAACTTGTCAACAGAAACCCATTTTCGATTTACTAAGTAAGCTTCTTTGCGGAGGGAGGCAAACATTTACTATTATAAAAGACCTTAGCTCAGCTGACAGTAACGGATGAAAGCGCGTAAGAGGCCTTTAGTCTTAAGAAGCCCTTAACATTCTCTTTGGGACAGACTCTCAACCTCGCTCATGTTTCAGCCTTTGTTAGCGCTGTCAAGAGCATTCTTCCATGAGAGTTTAACAATTAATCCAGACAAACAGTGATTGAATGGCCTGTTTATCACAATCAACTGTGCTGATATATGGCGTAGTTTTCACCTGTAGCTCATATCTGCAAGACTAAACGTGATGAGATGATACGTAATTCTGTGCTATCCCTTGTGAAAAAAGTGTACTGAATGTGCACTGGCAGTGGACTTTAAATCTAAAAAGTTTGTATTGCTGAAATAAAATGCCACTTAAGTGCATTTTAAAGAGAGTGCACTTTCATGACGTGCATTTTTAAAAAGTTGAAAAGTTTTAGTACATTTTAAATCATTATTTTTTATTATTTTTGTCAAGTTTTGTGTCGAAGTGCACTTATTTTGAGTAAAGTACTTCATTATAAGTTTAACTCTAGTATTTAAAGTTAATACATTTTACAATTGTGTAATTACACATTTATTTGAATACATGAAATAAATATTTTAGTTTACCATAAATGCTTGTTAGTACATATTTCAAAGACAATTTATCTGACGTAAGTTGGTCAAAAAGGGCTCTTAACTTAAGCTTAACTAATTGCATTTAATTAATTAATAAAAATTAAAAATAATAATTCCACATAACATGCAATTAAGTGTCAGAAAACATTACATTCAGGTTGCACTTTATTCTTTTATTATTTAGTGTGTAACAGGGCTGGACTGGGACAAAAAATCGGCCTGGGCATTTTGGACTGGCCCACTACACATGAACATATACACAACCGAACTTTGCACGCCCTTGAATATGTATATCAACTGCTTAAAACTACTAATGCCATGTAATAACTGAATCAGGATTTTTGGAAATATATGGTGAGTGCACCTCTGTCCCTCTAGGGGGGTTGGGGGGCATGCTCCCCGTAAGAAAATATTTAGCTTTTTATTAAATTATCTTTTAAATTCATCAATCTGGTGCACTTTGAGAGTTAAAAATTAAGAGCTCCAACCCATATTCACTGTGCTAATTGAAAAACTCAAAACTCTTTTAGTTGTGATATAGGCCTACTGTCTGTTTACATTACTATATAGTTATAATATTAATCCCATGTTGTAAAAAAAATGCACTGAAAAATAAAAGCAACTTTCGTAGTTAGTTGCATACTCATTTGAAAAGAGATAAACACATGATCTTTTATTTTGACGGAAACTGCATCAAGCTTTTATTTTGGCGGAAAACATGGTCTCATTAGAATTGTAATAAAATGCCTAATCGTCAAATATGCAGATGTGAAAATAATGTGTAACTGGGTAGTGTGTGAGTGTACTTTTTTTCACAAGGGATGGTAAGCACATGTAAGCTTTCTTACAGGAATAGTTCACAAAAAAATGAAAATGTCATTATTTCGCATGGCGTAATTGGTTGAAAATCAAATGTGTTACTGATGAAAAGCCCATTATTAGGATTTTTTAATGGATGGTGTTTGAATTATGTATAATGTACTGATGATTTCGCAGTTGAGGATCCATTCCTGGTGGTGGTGAGAGACAGCATCATTTACGGCATCCCGCTCAACCCGAACGACAAGAGCAATGACGCCATGGTGCCGGTCGCCGGGCTGCTGAATGGATATGATGTGGACTTTGACGATGCTGAGCAGATGATCTATTGGGTGGAACATCCGGTAAAGCATATAAACATTTCCTACCTTATCTCAGATTATTAAACCAAGATGTATCCTAGTCAGCAGGTTTTAAATTCTGAAATTAGGTTTTTGTCTTATTTATCTGCACAGGGCGAGATTCATCGGGTAAAGTCAGATGGTACCAACAGAACTGAGTTCGCACCAGCGGCCATCTTGGGTTCTCCGGTCGGACTGGCTCTGGACTGGATGTCGCAGAATCTGTACTACTCTAACCCTTCGTCACAATCTATTGAGGTTGGCAAGCCTCATTTCACTGCATTGTTCTTGTCAGGGCTTATTTCTACCTACTGAAGAATAGTTTTATCAATGGTAGAAACTAGTTTGAGTTTTGTAACCAGTAGATCTATGTGCAGTGTTTTTATTGTTAACTAAAACTAAAAACGCTCAAAATAATTGTTATTGATTAAAATAAAATATAAATTGTGGATAAAAAAATCTTAAACGTACTTATTTCAGTTCGTCGCCAACACTAAAACTGAAAAATAATTGTTATTAATTAAAATAAAATATAAATATTGGGGAAAAAAACCCTAAATTATTTATTTCAGTTCGTTGCCATCATTTCGAACACTAAAACTGAAAAAAATAATTGGTATTAATTGAAATAAAATATAAATATTGGATAAAAAAAACTAAATTATTTATTTTAGTTCGTTGCCATCATTTCGAACACTAAAACTGAAAATTAATTGTTATTAATTGAAATAAAATATAAATATTGGAAAAAAACAACTAAATAATTTATTTCAGTTCGTTCCCATCATTTCGAACACTAAAACTGAAAAATAATTGTTATTAATTGAAATAAAATATTGGATAAAAAAAACCTAAATGTATTTATTTCAGTTTGTTGCCATAATTTCTAACACTAAAACTGAAATAAAACTAAATTAAAATTAAATAGGAAAAAAAATAAATAAAAACAGACAAAAAAACCTAACAAAGCTGCTAAAGCTTAAACTAAAATAAAAATAAAAGCTAATTCAAAAATATGAATACATTCTACAATTGTATTTAAATAAATCAAAATAATAATAAATACAATAATTGTCACGGGTGCGGGTTCAGGCAGAAGGACGAACAGGCAGAGTCCAGAAAAGCTCCAATACAAAAGGTTTATTTCTCAAATGACAGGAAACAGGCAGGCGAAACACAGGGTGACATTCACATTGACCGACAAGGACAGACTGAATGGGAAGGAACTAAATACACACAGGAATCAAACTAAACGAGGTGAAAACAGGTGAAACAGATGAATACAGGACGCTGAACGGGAGGCTGATGAGGGAGTGAGTTCAGGTGTGGAGACAAGAGGATCCTGGGAAGTGTAGTGCTGGAGACGCAGACAGGATGGTGCAGACGAAGACTGTGACAGAACTCCCCCCTCCCGGGAGGCGTGACCTCACGCCGCATAACAGAGGAAGGAGGGGGGACGAACTGGGGGCTGGGCGGGGCGTGGCCAGGGCGGAGCAGGCTGAGGGCGTGGCCAGGGCGGAGCAGGCTGAGGGCGTGGCCAGGGTGGAGCAGGCTGAGGGCGTGGCCAGGGCGGAGCAGGCTGAGGGCGTGGCCAGGGTGGAGCAGGCTGAGGGCGAGACCAGGGCGGAGCAGGCTGAGGGCGTGGCCAGGGCGGAGCAGGCTGAGGGCGTCCCCCGGGCGGAGCAGGCTGAGGGCGACCCCAGGGCAAAGCAGGCTGAGGGCGTGGCCAGGGCGGAGCAGGCTGAGGGCGTGGCCAGGGCGGAGCAGGCTGAGGGCGTGGCCAGGGCGGAGCAGGCTGAGGGCGAGACCAGGGCGGAGCAGGCTGAGGGCGAGACCAGGGCGGAGCAGGCTGAGGGTGAGACCAGGGCGGAGCAGGCTGAGGGCGAGACCAGGGCGGAGCCGGCTGAGGGCGAGACCAGGGCGGAGCATGAAGAGGGCGAGACCAGGGCGGAGCAGCTGGAGGGAGGACCCCTGGTGGAGCCGATGGTAGTGGGGCTGACAACACCAGGGGGCCGACTGACAGGGGCGGGGCGGATGGGAGCGGAGACCAGGGTGAAGCTGAGTGACTGACGACATGTGGTGCTGATGAGGGACTGAGGGAACATGGTGATACCGTAGGCTCTGGTGACCGAAGTGATGACAGGGGCACGGAGGGACACAGTGAGGTCAGAGGGCGTGAGGGCTGACGGGTGACTGGAGGAGTGAGGAGTCCGACAGAACCGGGGGGTGATATGACGGGGCGGAGCCAGAGGAATGAAGTCCAAAGGTGAAGGGAGGACGACGAGGGAGCGAAGGGAGTCCGGAGGGTCGAGGGAGCCTGGCCGAGCTGGTGGACTGAGGGGCCATGGAGGAGCTGAGGGAGGTAGGAGCCACGGGGGAGCCAATGGGACCGGGGGCCGAGGAAGTGTCCAGATGGAGGAGGTGTGAAGCGAAGACCGGGGATCCACGGACCAGGCTGGGTCAGGGGAGCTGAAGGGCAGGAGAGCAGAGGGAGGACAGATGAGAGGAGGCGGGAGAGGGAGGCTGGGTGGGATCCTGGTCTCGGCCTCTGGCTGGACGGTCTCGGGCTCTGGCTGGACGGTCTCGGGCTCTGGCTGGACGGTCTCGGGCTCTGGCTGGACGGTCTCGGGCTCTGGCTGGACGGTCTCGGGCTCTGGCTGGACGGTCTCGGGCTCTGGCTGGACGGTCTCGGGCTCTGGCTGGACGGTCTCGGGCTCTGGCTGGACGGTCTCGGGCTCTGGCTGGACGGTCTCGGGCTCTGGCTGGACGGTCTCGGGCTCTGGCTGGACGGTCTCGGGCGCTGGCTGGACGGTCTCTGGCGCAGGCTGGACGGTCTCTGGCGCAGGCTGGACGGTCTCTGGCGCAGGCTGGACGGTCTCTGGCGCAGGCTGGACGGTCTCTGGCGCAGGCTGGACGGTCTCTGGCGCAGGCTGGACGGTCTCTGGCGCAGGCTGGACGGTCTCTGGCGCAGGCTGGACGGTCTCTGGCGCAGGCTGGACGGTCTCTGGCGCAGGCTGGACGGTCTCTGGCGCAGGCTGGACGGTCTCTGGCGCAGGCTGGACGGTCTCTGGCGCAGGCTGGACGGTCTCTGGCGCAGGCTGGACGGTCTCTGGCGCAGGCTGGACGGTCTCTGGCGCAGGCTGGACGGTCTCTGGCGCTGGCTGGACGGTCTCTGGGGCTGGCTGGACGGGGCTGGACGGAACCAGCGAAGAGATCTCGGGCTCGGCGAGGCTGGGCGGAACCAGCGGAGAGGAGAGCTCGAGCTTTGGAGGGGTGCTGGTGACTTCCTCCACCGTGAATGGAGACTCACAGCACACCAGCACCCACTCCACACAGGCGGCGAAATCCTCTGGACCGTTCCCTGGGAGGCGTGCCCGGGACCGCTCGCTGAGGCTGGCGATGTAGAACTCACTCAGCGAGCGGTCAGAATAGTGAGTGAGGCACGCCAACTCCAGAAAATCCCTAGTATGGGATTCCAGGGAACGGTCCTCCTGATCAAGGCAAAGAAGAGCCACGGCAGGAATGTCCATTTTTTTCTTCTTCTTTTTTTTCCTTTTTTTTTTTTTTTTGGGTCGGTCAATCTGTCACGGGTGCGGGTTCAGGCAGAAGGACGAACAGGCAGAGTCCAGAAAAGCTCCAATACAAAAGGTTTATTTCTCAAATGACAGGAAACAGGCAGGCGAAACACAGGGTGACATTCACATTGACCGACAAGGACAGACTGAATGGGAAGGAACTAAATACACACAGGAATCAAACTAAACGAGGTGAAAACAGGTGAAACAGATGAATACAGGACGCTGAACGGGAGGCTGATGAGGGAGTGAGTTCAGGTGTGGAGACAAGAGGATCCTGGGAAGTGTAGTGCTGGAGACGCAGACAGGATGGTGCAGACGAAGACTGTGACAATAATAGTTTATAAATGATATTGTAACACTGATACAAAAGTCAAAAATGTCATTTTCAATAATGATCTTTGTTTTCGATACAAAAATACGTAATATAATACCTGTATTTGATGAGGTATTACTGTAAACAGTGTCAGTTTGCCTCTAGTAAAAGTAAACAGGTGGAACTAAATTATATATAATTAGATAAATTAATTATATATTTCTAAATATTTACTTAAATACTGCTACTCTCCAGGTGAAAAACTTAATTTGTATTGTTTTTCTATGTTATTTCTTTATTTTATTATTTACTTAAATTGTTACTTTAAGAGCCTGAGGAAATATATTACATTTACAATCTATTTATTTGTTTATTTATTTATTTGTTAATATTTAAATTGTTCAACAACATTAAAATATGAAATGTGTGTGTTAAACAGCATATTGGCTTTGCTACTGTATTGCAGTTGGTATCAATAATTGAGAAATTTCACTGGTACTGTTTTTGTGACTAACCCAATTTGATTTGTTTCAGGTTCTGAGGCTAAAAGGAGAAATTCAGTACAGAAAAACTCTCATCACCAACAGCGGCTCACCTACTGGCGCAGGAGCTCCCGTTGGCATCGCGGTGGACCCGGCACGTGGGTAAGCCCAGATAAGCACAACTGTGCCATTAATCCTGATCCCCAAATTCAACAAGCTTGAGCTGATTTAATGTCATCTGCCGGCTCTGAACTGACTGAGCACAATACACAACGTGATCAGTCCTAAATCTATATATTCAGAAACAAAAAGACGCTGTTTTCTGGAAGTATGATGTTTCATATCTGTTTTAGGAAGATGTACTGGACAGATCAGGGGACAGAGAGCGGTATCCCGGCCAAGGTGGCGTCGGCAGATATGGACGGCTCCAACCCCGCCATCCTCTTCACACATAATCTAGAACATGTGGAGTTCATTACGATAGACATCAAAGAGAACAAGCTCTACTGGGCCGTTACAGGAACTGGCGTGGTATGCCCTGTTTCCACATGTTTGGTTCAGGCAATCAGAAATATTAATGTAGTTGCATGCTTTTGATTTTAGCTATTTGGATGTACAGTATACATCAAACACCCTAGCATTCAAAAGTTTGTATTAATTTGATCATAAAATACAGTAAAAATATTGTACAATATTGAAATATTAAAAAATATAAATAAAAATATTGTGAAATATTATCACAATTTAATATAACTATTTTCTATTTGAATATATTTTAAAATGTAATTAATTCCTGTGATCAAAGCTGAATTTTCATCATCATTACTGCAGTCTTCAGTGTCACATGATCCTCCAGAAATCATTCTAATATGATGATTTGTTGCTCGAGAAACATTTATTATTATTATTATTATTATGAATGAAAACAGTTGTGCTGCTAAATTTTTTCAGGATTCTTTGATGAATAGAAAGTTCTAAAGAAAGTTCTAAATTTGTTTAATTAGAATTCTTTTGTAGCCTTATAAATGTCACTTTTAAAGATAAAAAAAGACAAAAACACCTAACAAAACTGCTATACAGTAGCTTAAACTAAAATAAAAATAAAAGCAAATTCAAAAATATGAATACATTCTACAATTGTATTTAAATAAATCAAAATAATAATAAATACAATAATAGTATATAAATGATACTAGTATATAACAGTGATACATAAGTCAAAAATGTCACTTTTGGTGAATTTAATTAATTAAGTATTATCTTATACTATAATATTATACTGTGTGCATATATATATATATACTGTATGTATATATAAATATATGTTTCTATATACACACATATATATAAAGGTTTATGCAAATATACTGTATATGTATGGATTTGCATCAACCTTTATAAAACCAATGTTGATCGATATATATAATACTATATATAATACATATTTTTACAGAATAACTGAAATTCTACAACTTTTTCGTCAATGTTTCAGATCGAGCGTGGTGACCCTGATGGATCAAACCGCATCACTATGGTGAATGGATTATCCCATCCGTGGGGTGTGGCCGTACACGACTCCTACCTTTATTTCACAGATCGAGACTTTGAGGTGATTGAGCGTGTCGACAAAGCCACAGGACTCAACCGGGTCGTCATGCGGGATAACGTGGCTGGTCTTAGAGTACTCAAAGTACACTATAGAGACTGTGAGTATTGAAAAATAGTATTGTTCCAAATCTAGTGATCTGCTTTGCTACATCTACGTAGGCAGCTGCCTTATAAACCACTGAATTTGAATGAAAAACTATTTGTAACTCTCTTCAACTCCACACATCATACAAATAGCTCTTCCTACACAAAATGCACTGAAGATGCACAATTGACTTCAATGGAGTTTGATGTTTGCATGTTGCTACACTAATAACATAACACATTTTTTTGTATCTGTAGATTTCAATTACAATAAATTTTCTAAAAATGAGTAGTTGCACATACACAGTTACACACAAGTTTTTATGTTTCATTCATATCTATATTCCAAAGGTTTTTACAGAGGAGTTTGTTCATTTTTATAGTTCATTTATTTGATTTACATAACCCTTTATTCCTAAAATATGGTAAAAAAATGTATTTAATAAAAAGAGATGACCGTATGACCTTTAACTCTTAAAAACCATGAAACGAGTGTTTTGAAGCCGGCTTTATCTAATTATTCAGATCCAAATATTCAGATTTCTGTAATGCAATTTAGTGCATAATTAATTAGATAATGTGTAATTTGCAGAGTTAAACTTGACAATTTCACACATTTGTCCTAATGTACTGAGATTGATAAACTGTGGAAAGAATGGTGATGTCAATTAGTTAAATGTTTTAAAACTGAGATTGGCCCTCAGAATGCTGCCTATAGGCATCTCACAGTGTCATTTTTGAGCATTTATCTCGGTTGACTTGTGGTGGTCTTTTCTGGAAGTCACCGTAACCTTGATGCCCGTGTTGCAATTACCAGAGAGGGATGAATGACTTTCAATGGGATATCAGTTTACCAATTAGTTCCCCTCCGCCTCAGGGGGACACTCAGCTTTATATGGAGAAGAATCAGTGTCCTTTGTTCGGTGCTCGGTGCACATGTTCATTCTCTGGGGCTGTGAACGCTGTCTATTGTACAAGTCCTTCCAGTAAGAGGTGGAAGTGATAATATATCATACTGAGACGCACCAGAAATGTGTATACATTACCAGCATAGACAGATATGAGTCAGTATCATGTATTCTTATGATTGCAGTTTCTTTTAAAGTATTAAATATCTCCATCTCATTGTTTTTAATCTGATCTAAGTTGTTTGTCTGCCTCCCTAAAGCTTCAGCAGGCTCGTCTAACGGTTGCAGTAATAACATGGGGACATGCGATCAGTTGTGTCTACCCCGTCCCAGTGGCCTGTTCAGCTGCGCCTGTGCGACTGGGTTCAAACTCAACGCTGATAACAGAACCTGTTCCCCATACCAGTCCTACGTCGTGATCTCTATGCTCACTGCTATCAAGGGCTTCAGTCTGGAGGGAGCCGATCACTCGGAGTCCATGGTGCCTGTGGCAGGCAGAGGTGAGTGGTACAGATCAAATATACTGTTGTTTAAAATATTATAATATATTTAATTAATTATCATATAATGATGATATATTATATAATTACAGTATATTTAGTAAATATTTAATATGATAAAAAATATATATATATATATATATATATATATATTTAAATATTTAATATTTTTTACTGTTTTATATAAACATTAAATCACTTTTATATAAAATTGTTTCCAAATTATATATATTAGGGCTGCCAAACTAATCGCATCCAAAATAAAAGTTTGTGTTTATGTGGGTGCACTGTGTTTAATTATTATATATATATATATATATATATAAATACACACACATGCTTGTATATATTTAAGAAATATTTTATTATATATAAATATAAATGTATATTTTTTTTTTCTTAAATATACATTCATGTGTGTGTATTTACATACAGTATATACAATATATTTATACACAGTGCACCAACATATATTATATAAACACTAACTTTTATTTTGGATGCGATTTAATCGTTTGACAGCCCTAATATATATATATATACGTTCTTATTAGTTCATATTAATTATACGAATCATACTTTTTTATATTATATATTATATTTATGATGCAAAATGTTCTAAAATTATAATTCATTAATTATATGAATATTTTACATTATATAAGTACTGTAAAAAAACGAATCAAATTGGGTCTGCATTGTTTTTCTTAAATGAACTGGGAGAAATAATATTTTGAGTTAAAGTTCCATTTATGTGAATGAATGTAACATAACTAAATTTTTATTCACAAAAAAATATTTAATATATAAAAAATGCCGCACAAAGACTTTTTTGAGTGACAACCCAAACGTTTATTTTGAATCAGTGTTGAATCAATTCATTGAACTGACTGAAAGTATTAAAGTTTTACGGACAATAAAAAGCACATTTATTCACATGCTGCTTTATTGTATATTGCTAGCTTACTTATACAAATATATTTTGAATATAGTGTGTAATGAGAAATGCATGGTACAATGGGGAAAAAAACAACAATATTGCACTGTGCACTGTAACTTTGTGTGCATGTGTGTGTCTGTGTCCCGTAGGCCGCAATGCTCTTCACGTAGACGTGCACATGCCTTCCGGTTTCATTTACTGGTGTGACTTCAGCAGCACCGTGGCGTCCCAGAACGGAGTCCGCAGGATCAAACCGGACGGCTCTGGGTTTCGCAGCATTGTCACCTCTGGAATCGGACGCAATGGAATACGGGGCATTGCTGTAGACTGGGCCGCAGGTGAGCGGTTCTGTGCTTGTATGTTAAAATCTGATTTGGTGTATTTGACCAAATTTGGCCAAATCCCAAAACCAGTGAAGTACCTCAAGGAATGTGAACTCTAATGCCAAGTACCTCAGATACACTGAATTCATAGAGCGTTATATGAAGTCACTGCTTTCATGTGGTTTATACTATTCTGGAATGTTCTAGAGCAGCTTTAGAGGTCAGAATGGTGACAGCTTATTGTAGGGACATGTTAATTAACTCAAGTTACTAAAAGCAAAGACAGGTGGCATTGGAGAAGATTAAAGGTTAACATATGACAGATAAGAGGCTCAGTTAGTTTAGACCCCGGTGACCCATGGCTTGTTAAACATAAACTTTTGACCCCAATATGTGAATAAACAAGTTTGGCACACTACCAATCAAAAGTTTGTGGTCGGTAACGGTAAGATCTTGAATTGTTTTAGAAAAATGCTCAGATTAAAAAGTATTGGTCCTAAAATTGATCTCACACAGTACTTCATAATGTTCAGACAAGGTATTATTAAAGGGATAGTTCACTTTGAAATTTATTTTCGGCATATTTTAGCTTACCTCAAGGGCATCCAAGATGTAAGTGTCTTTGTTTCTGCAGTAGTTTCAATTTTTATATTTTTAGGTCAAACCGCTCTTGTCTGTCAGTCATATAATGGAGGTCTATGGTCACCACCTCAAAGAGCATGCACAGAGAAGTCCAGATTAAACATGATTTAATGACTCTTAAATGTAAGTACACATTGATGGCCTAAGACACGAAACGAGCGGTTTGTGTGAGAAAACAAACAGTATTTTTATTGTTTTTACCTCTTGTAACCACAGCCACGTCCAAGTGATCTGAGGGCGTGGGCGCTTCGGTCTGCGCAAGCGCCGGAAAACGCCGGAAGTGATCTCTCGTGCGGTTGGGAAAAAAATTCAACGTTGTCTATTGATGTATCGAAATCTTTCATTGCGATTTCCTGTATATCTAAATATGTTTAGATCTTCACAGTGAAGGGTAACACTTCCGAAATCAATGAGTGACGTACACGCGCGAGATATCACTTCCGACGCTAGTGCAAATTTTGTGCTACTACTCTTTCTTTTATTTGTTTTTCCACAGGAAACCTCTATTTCACCAACGCCTTCTTGACCGAGACGTACATTGAAGTCATTCGACTCAATACCACTTTCCGTCGTGTTCTTCTCAAAACCCAAGTAGACATGCCACGTCATATTGTGGTGGACCCCATGAACAGATACCTCTTCTGGGCCGACTATGGACAGACCCCTAAAATCGAGCGGGCTTTTCTAGACGGTTCCAATCGGACAGTGCTGGTTTCTTCAGGCATCATCACCCCCAGGGGTTTGGCTCTGGACCACCGAGACGGATACATCTATTGGGTGGACGATTCCCTTGACATGATCGCCCGAGTCCGACCCGAGGGGGGCGAGACGGAGGTTGTACGCTACGGAAGTCGTTATCCGACTCCGTATGGCGTCACGGTGTTTGAGGGGAATGTAATTTGGGTGGACAGAAACCTGAAGAAAGTCTTCCAAGCCAGCAAACAGCCCGGCGCGACCGACCAGCCGCTCGTGATCAGAGACAACATCAACATGCTGCGGGACGTCACCATCTTTGACCGGAGAATGCAGCCAAGTTCAGCCCACGAGCTCAATAACAACCCCTGCTTAGAGGCTAACGGCGGCTGCGCTCACTTCTGCTTCGCCATCGCGGGAACTCAGACGAGGAAGTGTTCGTGTGCCTTTGGGAATCTGGCTCCGGATGACAGCAGTTGTGTGGTGTCCCGGGATGACTACCTCATTTACACGACTGAAAGCACTGTACGATCTCTGCGGCTGGATCCAGAGGATCACTCGCTGCCGTTTCCCGTGGTTAACGTTCCCCGGACTTCGATAGCCCTTGATTTTGACCGGTTGGACGGCAGGATCTATTTCACCCAGAGCTCGGGAGCGAGCCAGAGCAAGATCAGCTTCATCACTTTGGCTTCACCTTCCTCTCCTGCTACAGAGGTGGCCTCAGGTGAGCTGCTTATTCAAACCCTTAATGTACAAAAAGAAAGTTAATTGCAGCATTTTAAAAAGGCTTGACAAAGTATCTTGCATGACATTTACATTTTAAAATGGCTAGTTTGTTGAAATTATCTGTATCTTATTTACCATATAAGCCAAATTGTTCTTTTATTGTGAAATATAAAAAAGAAAGAAAGCTTGGAAAAAGTTATTTGTTTCACAGGCAGCTATTTTGAATTTAGTTGTAGCAGGATTAAATGTTCAGTTCGGGGGTAATTTGTGATTTCTACAATCTGACAGTTATCAAAAATTTGTGCATAAACAGTTTAAGAAGCATGATAAGCCCTCTGAGTGATTTATTAAAGTCTAGTTAATTACATTAGTTAATATTAGTTTCTATGCGGATACTTCATGACAAAACCACCCCAGTCATTCCTTTCCGAATAGCTATTCAAGTCATCTGGTGAAATTGTAATATATAATCACAGAAAAATAAAATATCACAATGTAATTTTTTACCATTATCGTGCAACCCTAATCCTCACTATGTAATTTCTATACAGAGATATCGACATCGGTAAATATCGGTATCGGCCATAACAGCAATATTAATATCGGTTATCGGTATCGGCCACAATTTTCACATCGGTGCATCACTAAGTATAGGGCTGTCAAGCAATTAATCACGATTAATCTCATCCAAAATAAAAGTTTGTGTTTACATAATATATGCGGGTGCACTGTGTATAATTATTTTGTATATAAATACACACACATGCATGTATATTTAAGAAAAAAATATTATTTATTTATAAAATATTTTTATTTATATAATAAAATAAATTATATGTAAATCTATACACAGTATATACATGAAAATATTTCTTAAATATATACAAGCATGTGTCTGTATTTATATTTATATAAAATAATTATACACAGTGCACCCAGATATATTAGGTAAACACAAACATTTATTTTGGATGCGATTAATGGTTTGACAGCTCTCTCTCTCTCTCTCTCTCTCTATATATATATATATATATATATATATATATATTTGAATATTGTCAGAATAGCTGTCGTTGAGGAATATATTGCTTGGGTTTTTAAATCGAGATTGCCATCTTTTAACGATTAATCTTGCAGCTCTAGCGTTCATATATCTTTGTTTTTCTGAATGATTCCTTCTCTCTGGAGATCTGGGAGCTCCTGATGGCATTGCGTATGACTGGATCAATAAGAGGATCTATTACAGTGATTACATTAACCAGACCATCAGCTCCATGGCAGTGGATGGATCTCAGAGGACTGTTGTAGCACAGGTGCCGAGACCCAGAGCAATCATGCTGGATCCATGCAGAGGGTGAGTCTCTGATTCATTAGGTCTGTGATTTACATGTTTAATGAGGCATTTTCACATTTCATTTAAATGCATTTCTATTTCTGTACGTGGTCAGATATATGTACTGGACCGACTGGGGAACCAATGCAAAGATAGAGCGTGCAACTCTGGGGGGAAACTTCAGGACAGAGATTGTCAACACTAGTCTGGTGTGGCCAAATGGTCTGACACTGGACTATGAAGATCAGAGGCTGTACTGGGCAGATGCCAGTTTGTAAGATCTATATAGTATTATTTTATTGGTATTATTAACTATCAACACTTCATCTGCACTGTTTACTGGTGTTTTCTCTCCGCGCAGGCAGAAGATTGAGAGGTGCTCGCTCACCGGCACTAACCGCGAGGTCATCGTAAGCACTGCCATCTACCCATTTGCAATGACAGTGTACGGTCAGCATATCTACTGGACGGACTGGAACACACGCAGCATCTACCGTGCAAACAAGCATGACGGGTCCGACCAGAGGGTGATGCTACAGAACCTTCCATCACGGCCCATGGACATCCATGTGCTATCCAACGGCAAACAGCAGCAGTGCAGCAGTCCCTGCGAACAATTCAACGGTGGTTGCAGCCATATTTGCACCCCAGGTACTGTAGGTTCATATTTTAAAACAATTTTTAAAGCCAGTGTGCTCCAAAATAAAAGCTGCATTTTTGCTGACTCATTTGCTGCACTACATAGGGAGCAACTCAATTCAAGTTGATTTAACTATTTTAATATTTATTAGTATTAAATTATTATCAATTTATATACATACTTTTTTATTTTTTACTTTATTGGGTTGATTTTATTACAAATTATCTTGCTGCATTGCGTTATAAATGTAATACTGCCTTAGAATTTAATTATTTTTGCATCCGAAGTGCACATTATGATGCCCAGATAGGCAGCTCACTATGCTTTGGAACAGAGCCCGCATCATTTTTTTTTTTTTAATTAAATGTTAAATACTTTTTAAACCATCAATATATTTGGTTACACTTTACTTGAAGGGGTGTGCATAAGACTGACATACCTTCATAACCATGACATGACATATGCCTTGAATATGAAGTAGGATTTATGCATGTTTATGAGAACTGTCATTCGCTCAATAATGACATTTTGAATGCAAATATGACATTGTTTAAGATGTCTTTGTTATGACAACTTGACATTAAATGTAGTTAAACTGTCATGTGGTTGGCTTTGACACTGGCTGTCATGAGGCCATTATAACTGTGCCATGAATATTTTTCGTGACCTCAACTACAGTGGTACTAATTGAATTTGTCATTAAAGAGTTATAATGACTTCATGACAGCCAATGTCAAAACCAAACAACCACCTGACAGTTTAATGTAATGTTAACCAATAAAGCTAGGTGGTTTCTTAAGTTTGATCATTAATCTGCTATGTCATGTTTATGACAGGTTGTGTTGTCTTAGTAATGTCAATTTGTCATGTCAAAGACACTGACAGGTTATGATGTATTGGTTTATGTCAAGGTGTCATAACAAAGCAAATGACACTTAATGACAGTTTCACAAACATGCATAAAACTTCCTTCATATTCATAACATATGTCATGTCATGATTATGAAGGTGTCATGTTAGTCTTATGCACACCCCTTCAATTAAAGTGTTACCTTATAGTTTATATAGTTATAATTTTTGGACCCATCTTTAAAATTAAATATTTTTAAAATTAAGTACTTTAATTTCAAAATACAAAACTATTTCCTCCAGGTCCTCAGGGAGCAGAGTGTCAGTGTCCCTCTGAGGGCCGCTGGTATCTGGCCGACAACAAACACTGCATCCCTGACAATGGGACACGCTGCCAGTCGGGCCAGTTTACTTGTATGAACGGCCGCTGCATCCGCGCCCAGTGGAAATGCGACAACGATGATGACTGTGGGGACGGCAGTGATGAACTCGAGAGAGTCTGCGGTGAGATGCAGTGCATGTTGTCAGCTTGTACAGAGGTCTTCGAATCTTTTCAGAATAGAGGGCGATTTTATGTAAATACAGTTTATTGATTTGAAAGATGTGCCAGTGCCTTCATGCATGGTGTGTATGGGACAGCAATAATCTGCTCACTTCAAGAGGAATTCAGCCAAACTGACAATTAATGATGCACTTTAAAGGGTGAACTAAACTTAAAATTGATATTTGTGCAACTTAGCATAATGTTGACAATCAAATCTCTAAGTTTAAGTCTTTCCGTCGCTGTCTGACCATCTCTGTTTGCCGGTGAAGGGATTTTCCTCTCCTGCATCTTTCACTAACATATTTCTTCTTGCTTTTTTCTTACTTGCACAATCTGCTCAAATCTCTTGCTCCAGGATCCAAGAGTCATTTCGTTTTTGGTGTGTATTCTTGCTTACCTCTATTCACATGTAGATAAAAGCTTTGTTCCAAATTCTGTTCTGCCAACATACTGTAGTTAAGATTATCATACTGCCCTTTAAGATATCTTCTTTTGGCCAGTACTGCATGTATGTTTTGCAGAGACAATAATGCCATAATGCATTGCAACAATCTGCATGCAAAAATCAATGCAATATAGGTTAATTATACATATAATTATATTTCATTCAGAACTTAAAGGGATAGTTCACTTTGAAATTAATTTAGCTCAAGGGCATCCAAGATGTTGGTGTCTTTGTTTCCGCAGTAGTTTATATTTTGATATTTTTAGGTCAAACCATTCTTGTCTGTCAGTCATATAAGGCAGGTCTATGGTCACAAGTGGTGGCTTTGGTTACAGGATGTAAAAACGATAGAAATACTGTTAGTTTTCTCACACAAACCGCTCGTTTCGTGTCTTAGGCCATCAATGTGTACTTACATTTACGAGTCATTGAATCATGTTTAATCTGGACTTCTCTGCGCATGCTCTTTGAGGTGGTGACCATAGACCTCCATTATATGACTGAAAGACACGAACGGTTTGACCTAAAAATATCAAAATTGAAACTATTGCGGAAACAAAGACACCTACATCTTGGATGCCCTTGAGGTAAACTAAAACATACCAAAAATTCATTTCAAAGTGAACTATCCCTTTTAAAAACAGATATAAATCTAATAATAAAAAAATAATAATAATTTCATGAAAATACTATGGGTTATGTCAAGTATCAGCTAACACGGAACCTTCTTAGAACTTTAGCTACAGTGACTTTCTGGCAAGATTCTCTTAAAATTATGAACAAATGTTCTTCCAGTAACGTTATAGAATGTTCTAAAAGAATTAGTACAAAAACTTAATTTTTATATAATTTATGGAATTTTTGGATGTTCATAACAACTAGTTAGTTTCAGAATGTTCAGAGAACATTCAAAAGTAACAATCACATTTTGTAACAATCACACACATTGAAGAATGATAAAATGGAATGTTTCCTTAACATTCGTATAACCAAGAAGAAGAAAAAAAAAACACATTCAGAAATAAAATTTTTACAACTTAAAGGGATAGTTCACTTTGAAATGAATTTTTGGTATGTTTTAGCTTACCTCAAGGGAATCCAAGATGTCTTTGTTTCCGCAGTAGTTTAAATTTTGATATTTTTAGTTCAAAACAATAGGTTACTGTCGTAACCCCGGTTCTCTGAAACATCGAGTGGAGAGATCCACCTATGGGAAGGGCATCCGTACCTGACCTCTGCAGAAGCATCCAATTGCACCAAGTCTGGCTAGACAGACAGAAGCGCGCGGCCAGTGCCCGATGAGGCCACACCCCTCACCCACGGGCATATAACATCTGGGCGCGCTGCTATTCCTCAGTAAGTATATTCGCTTCTCGTGCGGCAAGCGGGGCAAAGCTGGTGGATCTCTCCACTCGATGTTTCAGAGAACCGGGGTTACGACAGTAACCTATTGTTCTCTTTCATCATCTCGTGTTCGAGATCCACCTATGGGAGAGACATGGACAGCTCCCCGATTGCCCAATACACTCACAGTGAGGTTCTGAAGCCAGAGAAGGACGGTCACCTCAGGGAGGCGGTGCCTGACACGTCCCTTAATCATGAGCCTGCGATGGTGAAACCACACCTAACTAATGTGGACAAGCAGGACATGAAATACGCATGGGACACATGCGAGATAGTAACCCCAACCCACCAAGACATAATCTATACCCGAAAGGGGAAGAAATGATAGGTGACAGGAATGAACATGGCCAGTCAGCCCATTCACTCTTAATGGTATATATATACCAACAGGGTTACAGCAGGGAGGGGCTAAGACGACCCGACCCCTAGAACCGAATGTGCTACCGAGGTACTGGTGACATCCAGCCGGTAGTAGCGCACGAAGGTATGAGGAGAAGCCCAACTGGCAGCGGAGCAGATGTCCTGCAGTGACACTCCCCTAAACAGAGCCCAAGAGGTGGCTAAACCTCTTGTGGAATGAGCTCTGATGCCCCTAGGGGGCTGCACTCTCTTTGCTTTGTAAGCCATGGTAATAGCATCCACAACCCAATGTGAGAGGCGTTGCTTCAAAATTGGACTCCCTAAGTGAGGGGGAGCCCATGAAACAAAGAGCTGGTCGCTCTTCCGGAAAGCATTCGTCCTGGTCATATATGCCTGTAAGGCACGGACTGGACACAGAGCGTTCAGCCTCTGATCCTCTAGAGAGGTAAAAAGGTGGAGGGTGAAAAGCGGACAGCTCCAACACCTCCGAAGTGAACGCAGGGAAGCACTTCGGCATGAAGGCCGGGTTAGGCTTAAGGAAGACCTTATCTCCACTAAGAGAGAACTAGAGCACGAAGGATGAACCGAGAGTGCATGTAGCTAACTGACACGTTTAGCAGATGCCAAGGCCAAAAGCAAAGCTGTCTTGAGAGACAGCAGCTTAAGGGATATACTATCCAAAGGCTCAAAAGGGTGTTGAGACAGAGCTTCCAGCACCATGGAGAGGTCCCACTCCGGGACAGTTCTCCTGACGACTGGCAAAGAGCGGCGTGCACCCTTCATAAATCTACGGATTAGAGGGTGCTGACCGACGGTCGAGCCCTCAAAACCCACATGACAGGCTGAAATAGCAGCCAAGTGGACCTTAATGGTGGAAAAGGACCTGCCTTTATCCATGAGGTCTTGAAGGAAACACAAAATATCAGGAACTGAACACTGATAAGATGTGAAACCGCGCCCATCGCACCACCCCTCGAACACTTGCCACTTACAGCCATATAAGGGCCGTGTAGAGACGGCCCTGGCATTCTGAATAGTGGTGACCACACGCGGCGAAAGCCCAAGTGCGTTCAGGTTCGTCCTCTCACGGGCCAGGCCCAGAGAGCCAACCTGTCCGGCTGGGGGTGGTAAATCTCACCGTTGGCTTGGGATAATAGATCCGTGCGAACGGGAAGGCACAATGGCTCGGCGTATAACAGAGGGATTATCTCCGCCAGCCACGGTGCTTTGGGCCATCTGGGTGCTATCAGAATGAGAGACAGGCCCTGCTCTCTCACCCTGGCCAATGTGGGAATATCAGGCACAGGGGAGGAAAAGCATACAGGAGCACTCTAGGCCATGGGTGGGCCAGTGCGTCTACCCCGAGGGGCGCGTCCACGTCCCTTAGAGAGAAGAACATAGGACAATGGCAGTTTCCGCGCGAGGCGAATAGATCTACGCTCGCCCGTCCAAATCTCATCCATAGCATTTCCACTATCTGCGGATGAAGACGCCAATCCCGTAGATTGGGTTTCCCCTTGACAGCAGATATGCGCCGACGTTCAGAATGCCTGGGACGTGAGTCGCGCGTAGCGACAAGAAAACCCGTCTGCTCCACACCAAGAGCTTGTGAGCTAGGAGGTGAAGTTTCGACGAGCGCAAGCTGTCCTGACGGTTGATATATGCCACAGCCGTGGTATTGTCGCACCGTACCAGCACATGATGTCCCTGCAGGCGAGGCAGAAAATGATTCAGAGCTTTACAATTGGTAAAAAAGCTCTAAATAATTTATATGTGCTGAACGTAGTCTGTTTGGCCACAGACCGTTCACCGTTTTGCCCTCCTGGGTGGCACCCCAGCCTGTTAAGGATGCATCTGTCGTCACCACTTTCCGCATCGTAACCGCCCCGAGAGGGGTTCCCCGTGCGTAAAAGTCTGCGTTCTTCCAATGGCGCAGGGCTGCAGTGCACGCGCGCGCGTCACTGTAACCGAGCGGCAAAGGTCGCGAATCGGGCTGAAATGTAGCGACAAAACCCATTTCATGAACGCCCTCATCTTAAGGAGTCCTAATGGCACAACTTGGGTGGATGAAGCCATGAGACCCTGCATCCTGAGACATGTGCGATATTGCACTTTCGCCCCTTCTCTGAACTGTGACAGACAGCTCATAGAGAGCGAACGCGCTCTAGAGAGAGACGCGCTCGCATGGCAACCGAGTTCAACTCCAAACCCAGGAAATTGACATTCTGACTGGGCGTGAGATTGCTCTTGCCCACGTTCACTTGGAACCCGAGCGATGTGATGTGCGCGAGCACACGGCCGGTGTCCTGCAACACCTTCTCCTTCGATTCGGCTATGATGAGCCAATCGTCTATGTAAGTCAGGATTCTCAGACCTGTTATTCTCAGAGGCGTTAAGCCCGCCTCCGCGCACAGACAGAAAGACCGGGGACTCAAACTGAGTCCAAACAGAAGAACTGTGAATTCGCAACATATGCCCTGGTAGGCAAAACGAAGAAAATTCCTGTGCGGAGGATAAATGCTTATGTGAAAGAAAGCATCTTTCAGATCGACTGATGTGAACCAGTCGTTCTGTTTTATGGCACGGGCGAGAGCGCCCTGTGTCAGCATTCTGAAGGTGTATTTCCTCAAATGTTTGTTCAACACTCGAAGGTCCAAGATAGGGCGGAGAGAGCCGCCTTTCTTTGGAACCAGAAAATACCGGGAATAAAAACCCTGGTTCATCAGATTGGGGGGTACCACCTGAATCGCTCCCTTGTTTAAGAGAGATGAATTTTCCTCTTCCAGAATGTGAGAAGCTTTCTCTTCCGTGTGAGAAAAGAGAATGCCGTTGAAATGAGAGGGTTTTACTGCGAATTGCAATCTGTAACCCTGCATTATTGTACGCATAACCCACTCGGGAGCCGAAACGGTTCGCCAAGCCGCTTCGTGACTCGCGAGTGTCCCCGCTCGGGACAGAGCAGAGCTGTGTCTTGAGACCAACAGAATTATTTGTGATGCAATGGCGCCATCTCGTGGGCACACTAGAGGCGACATGCGGGGGTTCGGAGGGGTTTCCTCTCTCTGCAGTGAGAAGGTTCTCTCTGCGGAAAGAGGTTTTCCCTCCGAAACGAATTTGTTAGATTCGTTATTATTTGTGTTTGTGTGTTTTGTGTTGGGCAAACACTGCGTGAACTGGGCAAACATAGTGTGGTGTACACTGTGCTAAACTTTACCCACAAGGAGCCCCTTGAAATTGGGGGGAAAAACACACATCTCCTGAACACATGAACTGGGCAGTCTCAAGTGCAGGCAGAAAATACTACCCATTTTTAAGGATATATAAGAATAGTTTGTTTAAACGTGTATTTAGTTATGTGTTGGGAAACACAATGACCAAGCCTTCCACACACACAACGTGCACTAGAAACACATGGCTTGCAGCCGCAACTGAGCTGTGCGAGCCCAGCTGGTTGATTTGTGAGGCAATGGCGCCATCTTGAGGGTAGACTCGGGGCGACATGCAAGGGATCAGAGAGATTTGCTCTCTATGTTGACACAGATATAAAAATCTGCACGAATTCATTTGATTCGTTTAATAATAGTTTGTGTTTTGTGTTGGGAAACACTGGGGCAAGCCTTTAATAACTGGGTGAGGGAACCAAGTGTGTGCGGTGTGGTAACACTGCTTATGTACTTTCCCTCACAACAGCCCCCCTGTGGCTTGGTAGCCACGAGACGGGATTACCCGACCGTCCGAGGGAGACCCCGTGTCTTTCGGACAAGGGTTCCGGGACCGGGAGAATACGGAGGGCTCGTGGCCCGTGAACGCGGGCTGGAGGCTCCCATGGTGGAACAGCAGGCGGGCTGCTAGCGTTCAGGGCCGCCTTCCTACTCATCAAGGCCCGTGAGACAGTGTTAACAGTCTAGCGGGAGGCTCTAGGCGCGCTTGAGAGCTTCGCGAACACTGGAAAAAACGTTGAAGAGTTGTTTCCTCAGGCTGGGCGGTGGTACCCGCGTTTACCCGTCGTAAATATTCCTATCCTGGTCGGTGGCGCTCTATGGAGCTGGCCACACAATGTTGAGACGAACGGCCGCTCGCTCACAAACTTCCAGGAGGATCGACTGAGGCAAAACCGCGTGAGCGCTAGCTTAGGGTAACGTTAGAAAGACCGCGTCATCCTCGTCGCCGGAACCGTACCGGTTCGTCAACGAGAGTGAGGTTTTCCCGCGAAGATGTCCTCTTCAGGGAATGCGGATTGGGCTGAATACCGCTCAAATATTTTATCTGTGGCGCTCCGGGAGTCCCCCGGTAGCGCGTCATCATCACCGTGTCCCCCATCCGAGTAAGAAATGCCAAGCACGGTGCGCTGGATAGTGCAACTAAAGCCGGCTTTGTAAAAAGCTACATGGGCAGCAATTACAATGACCGCAATTCTCCGGGTTCTCCAAAGCTTCTTGAGCGTGCTAAGCCCAAGCGGACCGCGCAGAACGAGAGGGTCCTTAGCGGCGATGAGAGCACCACACGCGGCCGGGCAGGCTCGTCGTGATGGACTGTTCCCCAGGGGAAGCGGCTGTTTAGACGGTCACATAGCCATGGGTGGGCCAGCGGTGAAGAACTAGGAAAATACGTGGCGGGCAGCCATGTAAGGAGGAGCAGGTGAAGGACAGTGAGAGCTCGGCGGCTCCGGATGCAAAAAACACAGTGGATAGGCTGAAGAAAAACGACTGTCACTCACGTCTGGCGGAGGCTGATCTGGCGATATGTCCTCCTGTAGACTCGAAAGTGGACAGCGTAACGTTAATCCAACCGAACTGTGTCAGTGCAGAGGTCGCGAGAAGCGAATGTCAACTGAGGAATAGCAGCGCGCCCAGATGTTATATGCCCGTGGGTGAGGGGTGTGGCCTCATCGGGCACTGGCCGCGCGCTTCTGTCTGTCTAGCCAGACTTGGTGCAATTGGATGCTTCTGCAGAGGTCAGGTACGGATGCCCTTCCCATAGGTGGATCTCGAACACGAGATGATGAAAGAGAACCTTTCTTGTCTGTCAGTCATATAATGGAGGTCTATGGTCACCACCTCAAAGAGCATGCACAGAGAAGTCCAAATTGAGCATGATTTAATGACTCGTAATTGTAAGTACACATTGATGGCCTAAGACACAAAACGAGCAGTTTGTGTGAGAAAACTAACAGTTTTTATATAGTAACCTCTTGTAACCACAGCCACGTTCAAGCCCTTTAATGGAAACATTAGTGAAACATTCTTAGAATATTTTTTTTTGTTAATTGCTGGGATTATGCTTATTAGTTGACTGAATTGTTATCTTAGAATCCTTACACAAAATTTGATTAAAATTGTTTGTGAGTCAGCAGACACTAAGGCAACTTACTAGGATTTGGAACAGTAGTCTTAGACTCTAAAGTTTAATAACCATCCATAAACATACTAACCTCTTCTACTATGCACCGCTCTCTCTTTCGCATGCAGTCCCACAAGCAGCAGCATTCATTTCACTCTCAGGTAAACTAAAGTAGAGAGATAGAGGAGGTAGGCGGCGAGTTCCACTAGTTTCTGGTAATGCATTCAGCATTTTCTCCATAGTAACATGTTTTTTTTATTATCCGTGCATGGCAGCGTTTCACACCTGCGAGCCCACCGTGTTCACATGTGGAAATGGCCGTTGTGTGCCGTATCACTACCGCTGCGATCACTATAATGACTGCGGTGATAACAGCGACGAGACAGGCTGCATGTTCCGCCCCTGCGACCCCAACACTGAGTTCACCTGCACTAATGGTCGCTGCATTGCACGGGAATATGTCTGCAATGGAATAAACAATTGTTACGACAACGGGACGTCAGATGAACAGAACTGTGGTAAGTTCATGTGCGATGTAACAAAAAGTTGCTTCTCAACGATAAACAACCTAGAGTTTACAAGCTTTTATCCAATTTATCCAATCCATAATGGCTTCTCCTTGTTATAAAACACAGCTGAGAGGACATGCCAGCCAGAGCACACCAAATGCCAGACCACCAACATCTGCATCCCACGCTCGTACCTGTGTGATGGAGATAATGATTGTGGAGACAACAGTGACGAGAGCCCGACGCATTGTGGTGAGATTCTCTCCCTCTCTCCTGTGGGAACATGCTCACCACATTAGGGTACGTTAAAGGGATAGTTCACCCAAAAATGAAAATTCTGTTCAAAATTCATCATTTACTCACTCTCAAGTTGTTTGTTTCTTCTGTTGAACACAAACAAAGATTTAAAAAAAAAAAATTGGTAGCCGAACAGATGCTGATCCTACGGAAGGGGATTAGGGCCAAGCAATATTAAAAAAATAAAACCATCTCGAGATTAAAGTCATTATAATGCGAGAATAAACTCATTAAATATCGAGAATATAGTCGTTGTGTTTCGAGAAAAAACTTGTTCAATTTCGAAACACATCGACTTTATTCTCGATATTTAATTATTTTATTCTCAATATTGTATTTCGACTTTTTTTTCTTGAAATTTAACAAGTTTTTTCTCGAAACACAACAACTTTATTCTCGGTATTTAATGAGTTTATTCTCAAGATTGTATTTAAATTTTTTTTCTCAAAATTGAACAAGTTTTTTCTCGAAACACATCGACTTTATTCTCGATATTTAATTAATTTATTCTCAAGATTGTATTTCGACTTTTTTTCTTGAAATTTAACAAGTTTTTTTCTCAAAACAACGGCTTTATTTAGTTTATTCTCAAGATTCTATTTCGACTTTTTTTCTTGAAATTTAAGTTTTTTTTCTCAAAACACAACGACTTTATCCTCTATATTTAATTAATTTATTCTCAAGATTATATTTCGACTTTTTTTCTCGAAATTTAACGAGTTTTTTCTCAACACAACGACTTTATCCTCGATATTTAATTAATTTATTCTCAAGATTGTATTTCGACTTTTTTCGAGAAATTTAACAAGTTTGTTTCTCAAAACACAACTTTATCCTCGATATTTAATTAATTTATTCTCAAGATACTATTTTGACTTTTTTTTCCGAAATTTAACGAGTTTTTTCTCGAAACACAATGACTTTATTCTCTATATGTAATGAGTTTATTCTCAAGATTTTATTTAAACTTTTTTTATCGAAATTTATCAAGTTTTTTCTCAAAACACAACGACTTTATTCTCGGTATTTAATGAATTTATTCTAGCAAGACGAGCATTTGAGCTTATAAAAACTTAATCTTTGTCATTTATTTATTAAATGAGCGATTGTTTGGCTTGATAAGGCCCTTATTCATCGTCTGGAATCGTTTAAAGCCCTTTGAACAGTTTGCCATTTGCACTGAAAGTGTCTTTTCGACCTTAAACCATTTGGTTCCCATTGAAGTCCATTATATGGAGAAAAATGCTGGAATGTTTTCATTAAAAACCTTAATTTCTTTTCAACTGAAGAAAGAATGACATGGATGAGATGGGGGTGAGTAAATTATCAGCAAAAGTTTTTCCAAAAGTGAACTACTCCTTTAATTAGTGACCCATGAATGTGAGCGGTTCCACCTGGTGCCGCTGAGGTACAGTCCTTTCTGGGCTTTCTGGTTTAACGATAGTTTGGACCCTGTTTTACATAATGTTTACGACCCATGTTTGCCATTTGAGGCTGACTGATGATCCGTGTACTTGACTTCAGTGTTGTTCTTCACTCCTCAGCCACATCTACATGCTCCCAGAACGAGTTTCGCTGTTCGAGCGGACGCTGTATTCCCGGGCACTGGTACTGTGATGGTGGAACAGACTGTAATGATGGTTCTGATGAGCCCACTACCTGCAGTAAGTACTACGCATAACTATTTACACTAGTAGATGTTTAAAGAACAGAACAGGCATTCATGTGGAAAAAAAGTTAATTTTGTTTAATGGGGAGGAACTGTGAAAACACTGTGATGTGAGGATAAAGCTGTGTTTTTCAAGGGAAACCGTTGGCCATGTTTGTGGGTGGTGAATCAATGATGGGTGTCCTGCCTTATTGTTTACCATGGTGATGGAGGGAATTGAAGTTGGAGGGAAATGATGTTGCCCCCCACCCCTCATGTTACTCTCCACTGGTGATGCATGAAGTCAGAGAGTGGAAAGATGAAGCTGACTTGTGTTCAAGAAACTGGTTCATTTGGCAGAAACAGAGCTAAAATGTAGTAATTCAGACCAGTATGTCTGTGACAAAAGACTGAATGTGTGTGTGAGTCTGAGAGCTTCTTCTCCAGAAGTTCTATTCCTTAGTAGTGTTTTATTTTGCTAATGTAAATGACCATACAAATGCATTTTTTTTACATCAATGTGGCACAATAAGGATTTGTTTGTTTTTATGCTTTCATTTGCCTACATACACTTGAACCTTTGCGGAAATTGTATATATAGGTGATTCCTGTTAGGTTGATCAATGCATTTTCATGTTCCAAAATTATAGGTATTCTTAATAAATGAGATATCATGTTTGGGGTTTGGTAATAATTGTGTGTGTGTTTGAAAGATGCTCAAGGTTGCATTTATTTAAACAAATAAAATAAAAAATATTCCATTTTATAATATTTTAAATAATAAATATGAAGGAATAAATATGAAATACATTTTTAGCATAATTACTTCATTGTCAGAAATCATTCTAATATGCTGAATGGCTGCTCAAGAAATATTTCTTATCATTTTCAATGTTAAACGATTTTCAGTTGTGCTGCTTAATATTTGTTTAGAAACCATGATGCATTATGAAAATAAAGTTCAATAGCAGTGTTTATTTGAAATATACATATTTTGTAACATTATAAATGTCTTTAGTGTCACTTTTGATCAATTTAATGCATTTGATCATTTAAAACTCTAAATGGTAGTGTGTTAGATCACTTATCACAGTTAAGTGAATATAGGGTTGAATTACTTTGAACTACTTTGATGTCGATGTTGTTATTTTTATTTATTAAGAAATATTAAGGTTTTTTTTATTTTTCAAACTGAAGTGTTTCAAAAAGCGCTCTTCATGGGATTATAATGTATAGGTTTTTGTTACAATCAAGTGTATATTTCTGTAAACAGAAATACAATTATTTTTGTACACATTACAGGAATGACCAATAACATCAAATAACTAGAAGCTACAATAATATGAAAAAGGTTTGACACTTCAGTGGTAACCGTCTGGTGTGTTTGGGTGTGTGTCTATGATGGTCAGTCCAGCCCTCCATTGTGTGTCGCATTCCTCCAAAGTGACGTTCAGCAGAAAAGCCCTCACACACACAGACACCGGCCCTTCCTTTGCCATTCTCTGCCCCCTCCTCTCACACACACCATCCTCTCGCTTTTGTCCCGTTAATCACAGCACCCCTCGGTGTCTTTTGTTCAAGTGGGACACTAGAGAGAGGAATGCTTATTCTCTCCCAGAATCCCTCTGCCTGTGGAATCCAAGCATTTCTGGCTGTTCAGGATGGGATTTAATGGTTAAATGGATTACGTAGACCGCATGTTCCTTAGTTCCCTATGATATCAGAGTGAGACATGCTCGCTCTTCTGCTGCTTCTTGATCCGTGGCTCACTGCGGTCTGTTTGATCCCTACAGCCCCCATGGTGAGGACCTGCAACTCTGAGCAGTTCCGCTGCGATGACGGAAGGTGCATCGCTTCATCCTGGATCTGCGATGGAGACAACGACTGCGGGGACATGAGTGACGAGGACGAGAGACACAACTGTGGTCAGTAGTACTCGGGACAACCCTTCACTGTGAACAGTTATAGATAAATGTTTACGTTCACTTAAAGGAGTAGTTCACTCTTGAAAAAACTTTTGCTGATAATTTACTCACCCCGATGTCATCCAAGACATCATTGTTTCTTTAATCTAAAAGAAATTAAGGTTTTTGATGAAAACATTCCAGGATTTTTCCTCATATAATGGATTTTAATGGGAACCAAATGGTTCAAAGTCCAAAAGACACTTTCAGTACAAACTGCAAACTGTTCAAAGGGATTTAAATGATTCCAGACGATGAATAAGGGTCTTATCAAGCCAGACAATCGCTCATTTAATCAATAAATGACAAAGTTTAACGTTTTATAAGCTCAAATGCTCACCTTGCTCTGTACTTTGTGACTCTCCTGTTCGAACTTGTCCATCAAAATGAACGAATCTTTTTCTGAGTCAATTCGTTCGTTTCGTTCGTTGAATGAACCAAATGACTCAGAAAAAGATTTTTTCATTTCGATGAACGAGTTCAAACAGGAGAGTCACAAACGTGCGTCACAGAACAGAGCAAGGTGAGCATTTGAGCTTATAAAACCTAAACTTTGTTATTTATTTATTAAATGAACGATCGTTTCGCTTGATAAGACCCTTTCATTCAAACCTGAAATAAACCAATCAGAGCGTCATCCAACATACCCTTTAAGAGCAGGTGCGGATTGTTATTATTTATTATGGCAGATTCACCAGGTGCGCGCCAGGAGCGTTCACAGCGGTTCCTAGTTTACCGATGTGCTTGTTTGCTTTGAATGTTGAAAAATGACGCTTTGCGCGGGTGCAAAATAGGAATGAGACATGCATCAGCGTACAAAGTCATTTGCGCTGGGTGCAAGAGCCTAAAGAGATCCAAAATTGTACATATTTTTTAATTGTGGCCTCTTGTTTTGTCTCGCAGCTAATCGCACCTGCTCTCCTCAAGAGTTCACCTGTATGAACAACAGGCCTCCTCAGAGGAAGTGTATCCCGAGGGACTGGGTGTGTGACGGAGACGCTGACTGTTCGGACGCATACGATGAGCACCAGAACTGCACTCGCAGGTCCTGCTCCACCAACGAGTTTACCTGCAACAACGGCCTCTGCATCCGCATCTCCTACAGGTTAGAATTGCATTTAAAGCAAAAAAGGCTACCAGATGTATTGTAAGAGATGCAAAGAATGCAACATCCTTTTGTGTTGACAAGCCGCTTTGAAAAGCCCATTATTTGAGCTTCTGATAACTAATATGCAAAATTACTAATTATTACTAATTACTAATAATTACTAATAAAATTACTACTACTATTATATAATGCATTGCATTATAGTTGTAATTAATTGTATTTATTATTTAAAAAAAGTATATATATATATATATATATATATATATATATAGGGCTGTGCAAAGATTAATTGCGATTAATCGCATCCAAAATAAAAGTTTGTGTTTACATAATTTATTTGTGTGTGCTGTGTATAATTATTTTGTATATAAATACACACACATGCATGTATATATGTAAGAAAATGTGTTATTCATATATAAAATATTTATATTTATATATAATATAGATTATGTATTTATATAGATACAGTATTTACTTGCAAATAATTCTTAAATAAATACATGCATGCATATATATATATATATATATATATATATATATATACAAAATAATTCTACACAGCACACACACATATATTATGTAAACACAAACTTTTATTTTGGATGTGATTAATCAATATATATATATATATATATATATTGTATTATTTAATTTATTTAATTTTTTTCCATTTGATCCTCTTTTTTATATGTTAATGATGAATTTACAGCGTTTATACAGGGCAAGTTTTTATTGGCACCAAAAACAATGTTTTTTTTGGGGTTTTTTTCAAAGTAAGCATAGGTTCCAGTTGGTTCCAATAATAAACAGCAGTCTCTCCCATAAATCTCTGCTGTGCGTTTGGTGTCTACTAGGTGTGACCGTCGCAATGATTGTGGAGACAGCAGTGATGAACAGGGCTGCACATATTCGACATGTCTACAGCACCAGTTCACCTGTCAGAACGGGCGCTGCGTCTCGCGGGATTTCGTCTGTGACGGGGACAACGACTGCGGGGATGAATCTGATGAGCTGGATCACATGTGCAGGACTCCCGCGCCCACATGCCCACCTGGAGACTTCCGCTGTGACAACGGGAACTGTGTGCCACTCAGCGAGGTGTGTGACAGGAGTGACGACTGCAACGACAACAGTGACGAGAAAGGCTGTGGTAAGCACTGTGTCATGTGACCACTTGTGATCAGACCACTTGTGATCAGACTTGTGATCAGGTGACCACTTGTGATCAGACCACTTGTGTCATTCAGATTGTTTTATCTTTGCTGTACTGTATTCTGTATTTCGGGAAACATTTACTTTTCCAAAGCATTATAATATATATTTTCACAACATATCGCTCCTCATTATTTCGAATAGTGATGTCAGATTCGTGAATGAACTGATTCTTTTTAGTAAACTTGAATGATTCATTCGTGACTGATCTGATTGCAGCTGGTCTTGAGTCAACAACTCACGAAGGTACGAAGATACAGTTTTTGCTGCTCAGGATTTTACAAATTTTTTGATGAACAGAAAGTTCAAAAGAACAGTATTTATTTGTAGTATGTCTTCACTGTCACTTTTGATCAGTTTACTGTATTGCATCCTTGCTGTATAAAAACATTATTTTTCTTTTAAATCTTACATACCCCAGACTTTTGATCGATCGTGCATCACAGTTTCCACAAAAATATCAAGCAGATAATAAAAATAAATGTTTCTTGAGCAGTAAATCGACATATTAGAATGTGACACTAAAGACTGGCATTATGCTAGAATATATTACATTATTTAAAATATATTCAAATAGAAACAATATTTCACAATATAACAGTGTTTACTGCATTTTCGATCAAATAAATGCAGCTTATGTGAGCATAATAAACTTCCAAATGCATGATTAGCTTGAATTAGAAACACATCAACATTCTTGATGATTCACGTCTCCCGCATACAGACTTTGTGACGCAAACATCTTACAAATGTTTAATCACTATATATTGTTTTATCGAATGAGTGGGCGGGGCGATTTTCACATTGTTTCAAATCATAAATTCTACAAGATCCATTTCTCAAAAGTCAGTATGGGTTTTATGGCCTTATTTCAGTTACTTTTTTCACAAAGCATTTTCTCAAAACTACAAACTTTTACGTACATGTTGCTCACATATTATTGTAGCAGATTTTGTGATGAATACAGTGTAGACTTTGGCCATGAAAACGTCGAAACACTCCTAGGGCCCCAAAAAACACCTCAGACCCCAGAGGGTTAACTTTTCAGATTGTCTGTTTGTTTGTTTTAGGCATCAATGAGTGCACAGACCCGTCTATGCACCACTGCGACCACAACTGCACCGACACTCCCACCAGCTTCATCTGCACCTGTCGTCCCGGGTATCGTCTCATGTCCGATAACACAACGTGCGACGATGTGGACGAGTGCTCGGTCACTCCCGGCGTGTGCAGTCAGGTGTGTGAGAACACCATGGGCTCGTACGTGTGTAAGTGCGCGCCAGGCTTCCTCCGTGAACCCGACGGCCGCAGCTGCAGGCAGAACAGCAACATCACCCCGTACCTGATCTTTAGCAATCGCTACTATCTGCGCAATCTCTCCACGGATGGCGAGGCCTATTCTCTCATCCTGCAAGGCCTCAGCAGCGTGGTCGCTCTGGACTTCGATCGAGTCGACAAGCGCTTGTACTGGATTGACGTGAGCCGGAGGGTGTTGGAGCGGATGTTCTTTAACGGGACGGGCCGAGAGGTGGTGGTGAACGGGCTCTTGCACGGAGAAGGCCTGGCGGTCGACTGGATCGGGAGGAAGCTGTACTGGGTCGACAGCTTTCTCGACTGCATGAAAGTGTCGGAGCTGGATGGGCGGTTCGTGAGGAAGTTGGCAGAGCACTGTGTGGATGTTAATAACACGTACTGCTTTGAGAATCCCAGAGGCATTGTGCTGCATCCCAAGTTTGGGTGAGTGTCCCAATGATAGAAGTCGTCTTCAGACCTGTGGAAAAATAACTCTGTTACCAAGTGCACATTGCAAAATTTTAGTAGTGAAATGTAAATACAGGAGTGAATTGCCTAAATCTGTAGTTGCCAGCTGGTTAGTGTATTCTGATAGGATTGTGAAAACTACAACCAACTATAAAACCATGTGTAGTCAGGATTACAAAATAAATTGGCTTTAACATTTTTAAAATGGCGGAGCAATCATATTTTTTGCTGGCGTCAAAGGCCTTACATTCCAGTCAAATTCTGTAGAATTTTGGTGCAAATAAATGTATCACCTGGCATGTTTATTATTATTATTATTATTATTATTATTATTATTATTATTATTTATTTTTAATAAATTTCAGAAAGTGACACCTGTTCTATTATATTTAATTTTTTATTTTTTTTTTATAAAATAATATTTTTTTATTTATTTTGTTATGGATTTTATACATATATATATATATACACAAGAACAATGAATTACGATTATATATATACATATATATATATACTGTGTGTGTGTGTGTGTGTGTGTGTATATGTGTATATGTATAGAAAATCCATAACAAAATAAATAAAAATATTATTATATAAAAAAATTAAATATAATAGGTGTGTATACATATATATATATATATATATATATATATATATATATATGAAGAGTTCAGATGCAAAAGCCTCTAAATGCCATTTGAAATTTTCTTCTTTAATGATGATTTTTATCAAACTTGTATATTTAATTTCAGTAATTTCACTTAAATAACAATTAATAGGTAATTATCATTGCCATTTAAGTGAAATCACTGAACTTAAATATACAAGCTTGATAAAAATGATCATTCTAGAAGAAAATTTTAAATGGCACTTAGAGGCTTTTGCATCTGAACTCTTCATATATATATAATCGTTATTCATTGTTCTTGGTTTTTTTAATTTGTTTTATATTGATTTAATTTTTTTATTTTTATTTATATTATATTCTAATTTTATATATATATATGTATATACTATATATTATTATTCTATTCTAATATTATTTATATAAATCTATATCAATATATATCAATATATATATATATATATATAATCTAAGTGAGTCTAAGTCTATAGTGTTGAAAATACTATAAGATAAGAAACTTAGACCACACTAAAAAGTACAAAAAGTAAAAATGAATAATTAGTAATTGAATTTAGATGTAACAAATAATAGTGCCAACATACTGAATCCAGGTGTCACTTCTGTGATTAACTCTGTGTGAACAGAAAAGGATTGAGCTCTTAAAAGTGTTTTTTTAACTGAAGGTGTGTGTGGAATCTGTTTTAGCTTCAATTTATTTTTAAATCAAATGTCATCTTTGCGCAGATACGTGTACTGGACCGATTGGGGAGACAAAGCCTTCATTGGACGTGTTGGGATGGATGGAAATAACAAGTCAGCCGTCATCACCACTAAGATCGAGTGGCCCAACGGTCTCACTATTGACTACACCAATGACAAGCTGTACTGGTCTGATGCCCACCTAAACTACATCGAGTAAGACTCTCTCACGTTCTGCCCACACTGAAGAACATTTTTAGTCAGTTGAACTCTGAAAATGTACTTCATGTGGTAACATCTACAATAACTGGTTTTGTTGAAATGAAATAAATTATTTAAGATTACTGATTACTGATTGAACTGAATTCAACCAACCTAAAAAATTAATGTTTTTTTTAAATGAATCAAAGGATTTAGGATTATTTATTATATACTTGCTGTTTCTTTGTCTTTTAATTGTGAAATTTAGTAGTTTTGCTTTGGTACTTGTAGCTTGAATTTCTTTGACTCTATCTACAGGTCGGAGAACATGGTTAATATTGCAGGTTTGTTTGCATTATTTTTTGTTTGTTTGCCCCATTGTTAAAACAGTTGTGTCTCCTCAGATTCTCCGACCTGGACGGGCATCACAGGCACACCGTGTACGACGGTAACCTGCCGCATCCTTTCGCCATCACAGTGTTCGAGGAAACCGTCTACTGGACAGACTGGAACACTCGCACGGTGGAGAAGGGCAACAAATACACCGGCTCCGGACGGGAGGCGCTCGTCAACACCACCCACAGACCGTTCGACATTCACGTGTGCCATCCCTACCGCCAGCCCATAGGTGAGCCCGGGACAGCGTAACCCGAGCGGGATGCAGTCGCAGGCGTCAGATCCATATCACTTCCGTTAAACGTCCGCTGAGGCACTTAAGGGGCTCTGCCAATATTTACACAGTCCGACACAATGCCGCCAGTCTCTGCTCGCCTGTCTTTTCTCAGAGACAGGAAAGACTAAACTCTTTATCATTGCTTTAATGGCCAGGACAGGTAGTTTAAACTCTTTATCTGAGGGCTTCTTTAGAAAGACGAGCTACAGCTACATGATGTGGAGCCACATCCTGGTTCTTGGTAAGAGGAGACAGTCTAACTCAGACTCTCCAGATTATACTTCGTGTCATGACCCAATTCAATACCAAAAGTATAAAGATGTCCTGGAATGTTTTTAATGGATGAACTTTATTCAATATTTGAAATTAAAATAACATTCCTGTGAGTTTTTAAACCGGTTATTCGTCTTATGTTTTTATTTTTGATTCTAAGCACATTTTGCGTATGATTGCCCCTATTATTCAATATACTATTCCCCTATATTCAATATATACTTTTTTATTTGTTTGTATGAATAATAGAGAATAATCCTAAGAATATTCTTTTCTTTTTTAATCATTTAATGCATTTTAAAGATTGCATGTTTAGTTAAAAATCAAAGTGAAATGTCTCTAACGTTTGAAAGAAAAAAATGAATATAAATATTAGTCTTATTCGTACAAAAGTAAAAAAAAAAATCTAAAATTTGGTCATTTTTAACATTTTAATATTAATAATTTGCTGTTTTAATTACAAACACTGAATACATTTCAAACATTAAATAAATATCAGTGTTTGATTTGATTTTTAAGGATTTTTTTTTCATGCATGAATAATCAGGAATATTATAAATATATTTATTTTATTTGCAAACATTGAATGCATTTTAACATTTTTATATTTCCTTAAAAACCAAACGCTGAAATGCATTCCGTGCTTAAAAATCAGCTAAACATTATATATTTAGATAATTACTATTTGCATTAAATATTTATTTTTTATTCTACTTTTATTGCTTTTTTTATTTTTTGTTTGCGCGAATAATAGTGAATACTGAGAATAGTGAATTTTTGGTCTTGACCTGTTAGCACAGAGCCACTGATATAACTCTGACTATATCTTTCCCCTGTAGTGACGAATCCTTGCGCGGTGAATAATGGAGGCTGTTCTCACCTGTGTCTTCTGCGAGCGGGGGGTCAAGGTTACACCTGCGAGTGCCCTGACCACTTCCTTACCATGCAGATAGGGGGCATTGCACGCTGTCTGCCCATGTGTTCCAGCACTCAGTACAGATGTGCAGACAACGAACGGTTCGTTTATCTGCTTTCATTTCAGTCTCTGTTCTAAAACCTAATGAGTTGCGTTGCTGTATACTGTCTATGTACAGTAGGCAGCTTCCTACTAAGGGAGCATCCAAAGTAAAATGCAATATTTTGTTTTGTTAAGCTGTATTCCTATTTGGTGGAAGTGTGATGGTCAGCGGGACTGTAGAGATGGCTCGGATGAACCCTCCACGTGTCCCGTCCGGCACTGCAGACTGGGCCAGTTCCAGTGTAATGACGGAAACTGCACCAGCCCGCACTTCCTGTGTAACTCCAATCAGGACTGTCCCGATGGCTCGGATGAGGACACTGTGCTGTGTGGTATGGGACAAATCATTATCACAATATCATGTCAAAAAGCCCCTTTCACACACAGTCTTCACTGGGAAATTACCATTAAAGGGATAGTTCACTTTGAAATTAATTTCCGATATGTTTTATCTTACCTCAAGGGCATTCAAGATGTAGGTGTCTTTGTTTCCGCAGTAGTTTCAATTTTGATGTTTTTAGGTCAAACCGTTCTTGTTTGTCAGGCATATAATGGAGGTCTATGGTCACCACCTCAGCTTTGTGGCTGTGGTTACAAGGTAAAAACGATATAAATACTGTTCGTTTTCTCACACAAACCGCTCGTTCCGTGTCTTAGGCCATCAATGTGTACTTACATTTACGAGTCATTAAATCATGTTTAATTTGGACTTCTCTGTGCATGCTCTTTGAGGTGGTGACCATAGACCTCCATTATATGACTGACAGACAAGAACGGTTTGACCTAAAAATATAAAAATTGAAACTACTGTGGAAACAAAGACACCTACATCTTGGATGCCCTTGAGGTAAGCTAAAACATACCAAAATTAATTTCAAAGTGAACTATCCCTTTAAGAGTTCATGTGTGAACAGGACCTGTTCAAGAAATACCAGTATCTTTGACTGCTGCGCCCTATCTCGCAGCTTTATCAGTGTGTCGCACTCAAGACCCTGCCTTCTTTTCCATTCATCAGCACTGCGGCTTTGCAGTTGGATACTATTATGCTCATCTCATGTTCATGATCATTTACCTTACACCTGTCACACAGACGTCACAAAAAATGTTGTCAAATTGAACTGATAGTGAAACTTTAGCATTTCCGATGACTGATGTCACAGAATTTACCGGTATTTTGGTGTGTGAATGGTCTCTTAACGGTAAAAAAACATAACGCTGTTGCTTGTGTGTACAGCATTTTTGTGTATTTAAAGTCTAAAGTCTTTAAATACACAAAAATACACTAAAGTCTTTAAAGTCTCAGGGTAAAGTCTTTTTGGTTATTTACTGGAAATAGGATTACTGTGTGAAAGTGGCTAATGTTTGATGATAAGGCCTAGTGGCTAAAAAGCTGAAAGGTTGAAGTTTTGAACTGCATGATAATATGTACACTGCATTCAAAACAACACTGCTATTCTGATATTTGCTTTAGATTGGGCTGTTGCTAAAGCGTCTTCTGTTTCTGTGCCGTCAGCCACGCATCAGTGCGAGTCGCATCAGTGGCAGTGTGCTAATAAACGCTGCATCTCTGAGGCCTGGCAGTGTGACGGGGAGAACGACTGCGGCGACGGCTCCGATGAGGATCCCACACACTGTTCCAGCAGGACCTGCAGACCCGGACATTTCAAGTGCAGGAACGGGCGCTGCATCCCGCAGAGCTGGAAATGTGACGTGGATGACGACTGTGGAGACAACTCCGACGAGCCCCTCGACGAATGCAGTGAGTTACTGACGCGCTACAGCATTCACTGGTTGAGTAGAAGCTTTATTTAACCAGGAGAGAAGACTCACTGAGATTCAAATCTCTTTTACAGGACCAAGATATTAGGCAGCCGAGTTTGCATATACAGTTATACATCAAAGTTACGACATACCAAAAAAAAAAAAAAAAAACTGAGTTAAAGGAGTAATTCACTTTTGCTGATAATGTACTCACTCCCATGTCATTCTTCAGTCGAAAAGAAATTAAGGTTTTTGATGAAAACATTCCAGGATTTTCTCCATATAATGGACTTCAATGGGAACCAAACGGCTCAAGGTCCAAATGAGAGTTTCAGTGCAGCTTCAAAGGGCTTTAAACGACACCAGACGATGAATAAGGGTCTTATCTAGCGAAACGATCGCTCATTTCAAACATAAATAAAAACGTTTAAGTTTTATAAGCACAAATGCTCGCCTTGCTCTGTTCTGTGATGCACGTTCGTGACTCTCCTGTTCTAACTCGTTCATCAAAATGAATGAATCCTTTTTCGAGTCATTTTGTTCATTTCATTTGTTGAATATACCAAATGACTCGAAAAAAGATTCGTTCATTTTGATGAACGAGTTCGAATGGTATCGTTTAAAGCCCTTTGAAGCTGCACTGAAACTCTCATTTCAACCTTGAACCGTTTGGTTCCCACTGAAGTGCATTACATGGAGAAAAAGGCCGGAATGTTTTCATCAAAAACCTTAATTTCTTTTCGACTGAAGAAAGAAAGACATGGACATCTTGGATGACATGGGGCTGAGTAAATTATCAGCAAAAGTTTTTTTTTTTAAAGTGAACTACTTTACATACCACTTAAATTAGTAAAGGAAGAAAAAGGAGAAATTGTGCTGCAATACGAAGTGTACTTAAATCTCTTGCAGTAGTTTTCATTGTTCTAAATGTTGTTTGCAGTGGGTCCAACGTACAGATGTGACAATCACACAGAGTTTGACTGCAGGACAAACTATCGCTGCATTCCTCTGTGGGCCGTGTGCAACGGACACAACGACTGCAGGGACAACAGCGACGAACAGCACTGCGGTGAGATATCAGACAAACCCACAAATTAAGACTTAACTCAGAGCAACTGCTTTTTTTTTTAATTCACAAACACCAGTGCGTACAACTGATGAACAATTTATGACATAGTTACAGTAAGTAACACTAAAAGTACTTTATATATAATATATCATGTAAAATTACTTAGCATTGTGTGTGTGTTTGTCATGATTGATTGAAATCATTAGGAGTTATTCATCCCCTCACACTCCAGTGTATTAGCGAGTCGTGTTATTTCAGTCTCTCTGTGACGGACGGGCCCTCTGTGACCCCTCCTCCTGTCTGGGGCCACAACTCAGATTTATGTGTGTGTGTGAGGTATGTCTGTGTCAGGCACCAGTGTGTGTGTGTGTGCAGTTGTGAGTATGTTTGTATTGTTTCATTAAGGATCGAGCGGTATATAATATACAGTGAAAAAAAAAAGATTAATTACCTCAGTTTGTGGAAAAGCAACTGGTGATGAGCTTTGATTCATTCTCGATACCACCTGTGGTTAAGTGTAACGTGTATATAAGACCATAGATATCATACTTCAGTGAGTTGGTATTGTAACATTATATCAGTTAATGAAAAAAGCTTTTTTAGGTTTTAAATGTGTAAAATGTAAAATGTTGCCACCATATTTTTTACAGCAAAAATCAGGCATCGTATGTGCAGTGTTTTTTGTGTGTTTTTTACCATACATTTCACAGATTTTTTGTAAGTGATCTGACTGATGTTCACATAAACACACACACACTTGTAGCCCTGGCTCTCCTGGGTCTTATCAGCTCCTCCTCGCTCCATTAGTGCCATCCTGCACAGAGAGGAGAGATCGCCCTAATCTGACTGTAAGAATGTGCCGTCCGGGTCAGATGTTCCTGCAACTCCTCTACCTTCCTTTGGCAGATGGCAGAGAGGATCTCCCCATTTCCTCCTCTTCTCTCATTTTCTCAGTAGCAGTAATCACCATGTCTTCATTAAAGCACAAAAATAGGAGAGAGGCAGCATTATGCATGTTCTTTTATTTTATTTGCACAGACGCGTTTCGGCGCGTGCCTTCATCAGAGTGCAGTAAGATCACAATGTAGCCAATCTTATACGCCCACACCCATATTAACACCAACCAATAATGTTAAAGTGATATCCAGTCCAATAATGTCACTAATGTTTCAAACAGTCTGTGGGAGCCATTAGTTATTGTTGATGTTGTGGTGGTTGTCTACACTAGAGGGCAGTGTGCTTGTGCTACAGTATCCAAGTTCACGGTGGCACAGGCGCGCCAGCTAATTAATACACAGGTGTAGCGGGTGGGGAATTATGCTAGGGTGGCGGGGAGATCACACGGTTTTTACCGCTGGCACGCCACAGCTAGATTAGTCCTCACGTTTGCATATACTTTGAACTCTGTAAACTATTTTTCTATTAAATGGGAACACCACCCAAAGACGCTAAACGTTGTGGACTTTAAATTCATCCGAAGTGGACAAATAGCGCGTCAAAAACAGGATCTAGCCCTCACCCTGCTGAGTGTCTGATTAATGTTAAGACAGTCACTACACAAGTAAAAACCTTGATCTCGTTGAGATGTCCCGGAGGAACAACAAATGAAATCTGGTTTCGTTTGGATACTTTGGAAGTTGGATTAATGTTTGATATCGTTTGGATACGTTGGAAGTTGGACAACAACTGGATTTCGCTGGAATACTTTGGAAGTTGAATAAGCAAATGGATTACTTTATCGAGCCAAAACTGCAGCATGGTAAAGCTATAAACTGGGTCATCCATCGTCAATCCTAAGGTAGGATAAATCTTTTATCATTGACCGGCAAAAGGAAAACTTGGACCTTCCTGATAGGTTACGAACTGAAAGACTTTTACATCTGTACAACAATTGACGCAGTATTAATAATATTGCTATATAGGTCACGTATTGCGAGTGTGTTGCCTAGGCAAATGAAAGGCAATAGTCGACATAGCGCAATAACAAAGCCCGTGAATCTTACAAAGTAATCTGTTGAGAATGAGTGACACACAAGGCAATGATAAAAATAAAGTTACAGAGCTGCAACGTGACGGCAGTGAAAAAAGGACAAGAAAACCTACCGCTAAAGGAATCATTATAATAATTGAAAGGCTTCAAAAGGAAAGAAGTATGATTTTTAAAAAAACAAGCAAAATAAAAGCAGACATCGTCCCGTTTCTGGTTTCTGTTGAAAAGGTTCCTGCAAATGTGACAAATGTTCAACAGAAGCTAAAAGGGTTTAAGTCTCTATGTCAAAATGCCTTTGATCTTCACAACACTTTGCTCAATGAGTTTTCTCTGCCTGAAGAGGAACGGAAAAGACAGGAAGAATGGTTTCAGTTAAAAAGGTCTGTTAATGATGCATTCGTTGAGGAAGTGAATAAATGGTTGAAGGAGATGGGAGCTTCATGTGATGATGAAAATGTGAATGATGCCACTGACGTGGATGATGATGTTGATGATGATGATGATGATGATGATGATGGTGATGGCCAGGGTGCACAACGAAAGGTAAAAAATAAAGATGCTCAATCCGTGTGTCAAGATGACATTAGGCCAGGGGACAGTGTGTCTAATGTGTCCAGTCAAAGATCAAGCAAAAGAAGCCATGGCAGTTCCAGTGCATCTTCCGCACGGTTAAAGGCAAAGGCAGAAAGGGCAGCTTTGATGGAGAAGGCTGCTGCTTTACAAAGGAAGCATCAGCTCGAGGAACAAGAGGAGGAACTCCGATTGGAAAGAGTCAAGCTGAGGAAAAGAAAGGAACAGTTGGAACTTGATGCACAAATTGCTATGGCTGCTGCAAGGCTTTCAGTACTGGAAGGCAGTGATGTGGAAATGGCTGCATCAGATGGAATGAACTCATATGTGCGTAAGGCACGTAAAGGGCAAAGTCTTGAACTTAATCCAAATGCAAGCATTTATGTTCCTAAACATAGCACAATGGCTACAAAACCAACTTCAAGAGAACCACCTTTGTTTCCTGTGCATGTCGAGCACCCCTTTGCACGTTCACAGACTCACGAACAGCGTCGTGTTATATCATCAGCAAAAGATAGCACTTTTAGACTGCAGTCACAGCCATTCAATGGAACACATGGTACTACTGGCCAACAGCATCAGTTTGAAAATGTTCCTACAACCTTAATAACTGCGCCTGCTGGATCAGTAGCTGCACAAGAACAGCAATTGCACAGGCTTCAGCCAGCACAGAGCACTCCACCAATGCAAAGCACTGTGGACCGGAATGCCATATGTGGAATCTTGCAAAAGCAGAATGAGATTACAGCAATGCTTGTGCAGCAACAAATGTCATCAAGTTTGCCACAGAAAGACATTGCCATATTCGATGGGGATCCATTGCAATTTCTTTCATTTGTTAGAGCTTTTGAACACTGTATTGAGCAGAGAACTAGCAGCTATCAAGACTGTCTGTACCTGTTAGAGCAATATACTACAGGGCAGCCCAGAGAGCTGGTTCGAAGTTGCCTACATATGGCATCGCAGCAAGGATATCAAAGAGCAAAAGGTCTTCTGAGAGAGCACTTTGGCAGTGAACAGAAGATAGCAACAGCCTACATGGACAAGGTGTTCGGATGGCCTGTTGTAAAGGCTGAGGATGTTAAGGCATTGCAGGAATTTGCACTTTTCTTAAGAGGCTGCTGCAATGTTATGACTGAGATACAATGTATGGAGGAATTGAACATTCCATCAAATATGAAGAATGTGATAATGAAATGGCCATACAGGCTGCGGGACAGATGGAGATCTATAGCTTGTGAGCTACAAGAACGACGAGGCTATCGAGCCACCTTTCCTGATATGGTGAACTTTCTTGAGACTCAAGTCAAAATCTTGTCTCATCCGCTTTTCGGTGATATTGCAGACACACAATCTAGTGCTTCGAAGGCTATGAATAGTAGAAGGCCAGTGTCCAGGAGTAATATCAAAGGAAGCAGTTTTGCAACTAATATTTTGGCGATGCCAAGCCAGCCCAGTGCTTCGAAGGAGTCAGGCTTAGAATCCTGTCACTATTGTAAGCAGCGTCATCTGTTGCCCAAGTGTCCAGGCTTGAACAAAATTCCTCACAGGGAGAAGATTGAATTCTTGAGAGAAAAGGGTGTTTGCTTTGGATGCTTGAAAGTGGGCCACATGAGTAAAGAGTGTAGAAGTCGTCTGACCTGTGATGAATGCAATCTGAAACATCCAACTATTTTGCATATCTACAATAAAGATAAGATGACCAAGACACAGGAAGTAGAAGTAAATAATGCACTGGTGTCACTTCAGGCATGTGGTTGTACTGGGGCCGGAGATCAACATTGTACTCTCTCCATCATTCCGGTACAGGTGAAATCTAAGAAAGGACACAAGGTGCTCAGGACATATGCCTTCTTGGACCCTGGAAGTACAGCAACATTTTGTACCAACAGTTTATTGAAGAAGTTAAATCTGCAGGGTAAAAGGACCAATATTCTACTACGCACCATGGGCCAAGAGAAGGTTGTTGAAAGTCAAGTTGTTTCAGGTCTAGAGGTGTCCAAATTGGGTGGCAGCCAGTTCTTGGACCTCCCGGAGGTGTACACACAGGACGCAATTCCAGTGTCAAAGAGTAACATTCCTATCCAGCAAGACCTTGAGAAATGGGAATATTTGAGAGGTGTTAAAATTCCAGAATTGGATGCAGATGTTGAAATCTTGATTGGGACCAATGCACCAAAATTGATGGAGCCCTGGGAAATTGTTAACAGCGAAGGTGGTGGACCCTACGCCGTGAGGACCCTATTGGGGTGGGTCATCAACGGTCCATTGAGAGGCAATGGTGGATGTTGCAAGAGAAGCTGCTCAACCGTCTATGCCAATAGGATATCCATTGCCAGGCTGGAGGAGCTGTTGGTTTCTCAGTACAACCAAGACTTTAATGAGAAGTCATTGGAGGAGAGGCAGGAGATGTCAAGGGAAGACCTGAGATTCATGGAGG